AATGGATTCTCACGCTATAGGGGACATAATTGTAGCCGAGAAGCGGAGCTTTTTGGGACCTCCCTTTGACTTAGTCAGATTCTCACACCCTGGCTCGCAATAACACAATTACATGAAAACCTACAAACATTGGGACACTTTTTTGAGCCACTGTAGCAAATTGATCTCCCTGAAGGACACCGGGCATAATGAACATAGAGAGGCGAGGTTGCTTGAGAGGTGTCCTCCTGGCCATGAAGGCAAAAGGTTGGTCGACAAACCTGCCACAATTCTCGATGCATCCGGTGCCATCATTGCATGGTACCTCCCAGACACCCTGACCGACACCACCCAGGTGTGTAATATACATTGCTACTCAATGGATATTGAATATTAATGAAACCTACAGAAGGAAATCAGGGAGGCCACCGATTTGCTCGCTCCAAGCCTTGAAAAAAGTGTAAGGGCTGATGGCAATTGGCGAACTAATCAAACATTGTTCAACCAGGGTTCGGAAGATGTTGAACTCACGGATGCATCAATCTATCTCCGGCATGGTTTCAACAGGGACACGAGGTAGGATCTGATGAGATGGTGATTCCAGCAGTCATACTCACCAATCCCAAAGAATGTATCAGATCCGGAGGTATCTGCATCATTGAAGGGACCTTCCTGTGAGAATATCCTCAAAGCCATTGCAAGGCCAGCAGCCATTGCGTCCGCAGCACTCAGAGTCATGCATCCTGAGCAGTACTGGGCAGGGTTGAGAACCTTGTCAAAGCTTGGAAATATAGCAGTAAGCAAGGATCTGCCACAGATGCCGGAGGCCCTGCAGTACTGGGCATCCGTGTTTAACACCCTCTCCATCATTTCCAATCGGGAAACCCCCCATCATCGAGACCACATGTCCATTGCTGAATGCTTCGACATTCTCACCACCGTGGGGAACTATTCTAATGCTCGGATGACAATGCCAAGCCTTCAGCTGGAGTTCAAGTACAATTCCGGCTGTATGATTGCGTTTTCCAGAAGGATTGTGAGACATGGAGTTTATGATATGGAAGGGGATCGGATTGCTTGGGCATGGTATATGAGGGATGCTGTTCACATTTACGCTGGTGTTCCATCATGTGGATGGGCTAGTGTGGATGGTCCATACAGCGTGTGAAAGATCAAACAAAGAGCAAGCATTGTGACCTATATACATTCCGACAAATGAATACCATGTACCAATAGTTATCTGGACCTCAATACTCAATTTTGAGCATTTGCAAAGTGATATATGGGACTGAATAATTTGGATGCAAGCCTCGGTATTCGATAATTGGAACTCGGGACTTGACATGCGGGAGTCCCGAGTGCCGGGTTACTGAGTCCCGACACCCGGACCTCAGCACGTGATATTTGAGACTGGGGGAAGATGTATAAATACGCTCGAATTAACATTTGTTATTGCCATACACATTTGACAAAATCCTGAGCCCTGACATTGTGGACTCCAGACTCAACACTGTTCTGAATACCGAGTCCTGGAAGCCCATGTCCCGAGTCCCGAATTTCAGAGGTCAGGGTTCGGCAACCCGGAGCTCGGCCACTGGTTTGGGTGTCAGGGTATCCAGAGCATTGGAGATAGCATGTGTCAGTATTTTGTGTTTCATGGTTCATGTTTCGTGGTTATGGAATCAGGCATCAGGGACTCAGTATTGAGAACAGTGTCGAGTCCCAGGTCACGAGCTCCAAGTCCCGAGTGCTGAACCCCGGGTCCCGAGTCCTGAATTTCAGAGGTCGGGGTTCGGCGACACAGAGCTCGGCAACTGTTGGGTCTGGAGTTTGGGACTCGGGACTCAGAGCTCACGACCTGGGACTCAACACTGTTCTCAATACCGAGTCCCTGACACCTGATTCCATAACCACGAACCATGAACCATGAAACAGAAAATAATATCTGCAATGCTCCAAATACAGTTGCCGAGCTCCAGGTTGCCGAACCCTGACCTCTGAAATTCAGGACTCGGGACCCGGGGTTCGGCACTCAGGACTTGGAGTTCGTGACCTGGGACTCGACACTGTTCTCAATACTGAGTCCCTGACACCCGATTCCATAACCACGAAACATGAACCATGAAACACAAAATACTGACACATGCTATCTCCAATGCTCTGGATACCCTGACACCCACCCCAGTGGCTGAGCTCCGGGTCGCCGAACCCTGACCTCCGAAATTTGGGACTTGGGACCTGGGCATCCAGGACTTGGATGTGAGATTTTTGAATGCATAGAATATGTTACATCTTGTATACAATGAAGACTGAATGGGACTACACTCCTTTGCCTTTCCTCAATTTCTCTAACATGTCAGTGTACATCTTCACCTCTCCCATCTTGGCTTTGATGCCCTGATCTTGCTCCTCCATCAATGCTTCCATGTGTTCTTTAATGAACCTCAGTCCCATAAGTGGTGGAGTCAAAGTGTTTTTCAACTTCTCTGGAAGAACCAAAGCATCATCCTCAACATTAAGCTGAAACAGATAAGTCATCAATCAAGGTAATTCAGCTAAGATCTTACTGCCCAATACTGGTAGTGAGAGACGCAGGAAGCCATTATTTCATCCCACTGCCATGGTTGATCAGGGATTGTGGTGTTTCCCATCCACCATGGACATGTATATGTGAACACAATCCGGGACGGATGTCCTGCAATTGGCTCATCATGAAATGAAAGGAGGTGGAATGAAAAGACGTCGTCCGGAACCGTGTTCCAGGTTAGCATGGGATACAACTTAAGGATATAAGCAACAGGGACCAGAACCACCGACACGATATTCTGTGAAGTGGAGTACTGCAGGAGTGGTGTGACAAAAGTCTGCTCAAATTCTTAGCATTGACCAACAAAGTCATCAGGGCAGTGGTAACATACATTCATCTCCCATTGCAGCCCAGCTTTAAAATACTTGATCCAGTCAGAAGATACACCATTGTTGGCAGCTTCCGTCCGATATTGAGAGATGCATGCACAGACGCGCGATCCAGCCATTGCCAATGTGCAGGAAATAGTTGCAAGGCTCAGCTTCAGGGGTCGGTAATGGCTTCTGGCATTCAGAATGCCAGAAGTGGATGCAGGAGTTGCAGACATGGCTAATACAGGACTATGGCGCTGGCAATGCAAGTGAAAGATGGTGAAGATGTGAAGATAAGAATCACTGATGGATGGATATGAAATTCAAACTCCGACATGGGCTGACCCGGACAATTCCCAGGTCTCACACTGGGGGCAGGAACCAATTTGCCCATGGGACAAATGTTGAACCTAGTGTGATCTTAGACAAACTCAGATCACCTTTGGTTTTGGCAAAAAATGTTAACAAAAATTAAAATTTTGCCTGCATATTTCTTAGTTTATAACAGTTTGAGTTGTTTTTTGACATATAAATTCTGCTCAGCATATCTACACATTTTCATCAGACATAACATTTACCCTGTCATATGTTTTTGTTGTCATTTTTCTGTGGGGCCACATAATGTTCATATTTTCAACATGTCACAGACTTATATTTTGAGTGAATTTCAACTGTGATTAATTTTTCTTTATTCTTTTTTCATTGGAATCAAGCTAAGAAAATTTTGCTTATGAATGCAAGCAACATGTCACTATGATTCTAATCATATTCTAGAGAGTTTTTAATTTATAACACCCTACATTCCTCCTATTTCTACACTTTTGTTTCTTTGAGATATGATGAAAAAGACAATGTTAGTTGATGGAAAAAAGTTTGACCAGATGTTAAAATAATATATGCTTTTCTCTGTGAACAAAATTGGTAATAAAGTAAAATTTGACTTTTTTTGTCAGCAAATCAAATTTTGATCAAAGTCAACATCAACAGTCAGCAGTCGACAGTCAACAGGTTGATTGATTATGGTAGGTCGACCTGTGAACTGTTGACTGCTGACTGTTGATGTTGACTTTGATCAAAATTTGATTTGCTGACAAAAAAAGTCAAATTTTACTTTATTACCAATTTTGTTCACAGAGAAAAGCATATATTATTTTAACATCTGGTCAAACTTTTTTCCATCAACTAACATTGTCTTTTTCATCATATCTCAAAGAAACAAAAGTGTAGAAATAGGAGGAATGTAGGGTGTTATAAATTAAAAACTCTCTAGAATATGATTAGAATCATAGTGACATGTTGCTTGCATTCATAAGCAAAATTTTCTTAGCTTGATTCCAATGAAAAAAGAATAAAGAAAAATTAATCACAGTTGAAATTCACTCAAAATATAAGTCTGTGACATGTTGAAAATATGAACATTATGTGGCCCCACAGAAAAATGACAACAAAAACATATGACAGGGTAAATGTTATGTCTGATGAAAATGTGTAGATATGTATGCTGAGCAGAATTTATATTTTAAAAAACAACTCAAACTGTTATAAACTAAGAAATATGCAGGCAAAACTTAAATTTTTGTTAACATTTTTTGCCAAAACCAAAGGTGACCTGAGTTTGTCTAAGATCACACTGGGTTCAACATTTGTCCCATGGGCAAATTGGTTCCTGCCCCCAGTGTCAATTGTGTATGTGGAAAAAGGGACTTCATGAGAAAACAATGTTCATTCATCTCCAGCCTCTATCAACACATTTTGTAGGTCTTGAAAAGCTGCCTGCGCATCCTGTGCAAGCAATGAATATATTTGGGATTGCCTTCCGGTGTAGCATCCGTGACCCGGAAGGTGTTTCTCCAATGATTCCTGCATGTGGTCGCCCCATTGGGTTGTTTTCCACAAAAAGAACTTACACGTCCAATCCATCTCCAATTTGACCAATAGCATTTCTTCCCTCCATCGATCTCATAGTGCCTTGGCCCTCAGCCAATGGACTTGGTAAACTTGGCATGGGTCCAGTCAGGTAACCTCTGGATATGACATGCAAGCAGAAACTCACATTCCTCATTCCACGATTGATCGGGACCCCCGAGGTCGACTTCAACAGACCAAACCTAAGCCAAAGATTCATTTCGTTGACCTCGGGCATTTGGGTTGCCCACTGCAGTGCTGATTTTGAGTTGCTCGTGAAGCAGGGGTTTGTATTTCTGAAGCTGGTCTTGCCCCGGCTCAAGTTTCATCATTTGCTTCCTTGTCTTTGTATATATGCTGGCATGGAGGGAGACTGCCTGCTGCACCGACATCACCTGGGACCAAGCTCGAGTTTTCAGGGCCTGAGATTTGGCCTGCCTAACAGTTGTTCGGAACAGGATGGCCTTGTTGCAAAGGTAAATGCGGAGATTGTGAAGGGCATCATTGGCCTGCCCTTCATGAAGCGACATCTCCAGGGGAATCAGATCCTCTGCCATGCATTGTCTGCATCTATCAACCCCCAGGTTCGATGGCAATGGGATTACAGTGAGCTCGGGAGAGTTTGTCCATGTATGAGATGTCTCTGTGAAATCCGCCGGGTCATCATCGAGATCATCTAGAATGTCTACGTCCAAGTCCTCAGGTTCATCATCTGCATCAAATCCCTCCCTGAGATGTGTTAGAGCAGACCGAGCAAATCCATCTATCTGGCCTTGGAGCCGATCCCGTTGATGGGTGATGTCTAATCTCTGTGTCTCGGTGGATCTTCTTCCGATCCTTCGGACCTCAGTGAGCAATGCAATCTGAGCCTCTTCAATTGCTAACCCTGTTGATATCCATGTTGCCACAGATCTGCGAGAGGGTGCTGCATTGCGGGCGTTACCCTCCTCTAACAATCTAAGCTCGATCTCCTTTTTGCTAGGTGCTGAGTGCAATATTAATTCAGACCTCAATGGAGACAATGGAGCTCAATGTACCCTTTTTGATATTGATCTCATATTTATCCATGGCTGAAGGATCATTCAATCTGCTTGACTGAGCTATCCTCTCCCTGGCTAACCATTCTGTCTTCAAATGTGAGGGTGCTGCTTCATCGAGTCTGTCGAATGCCTTTCCACTTTCTGAGATGCCATTCCTAGCCAGTTTGTATTTCTGGCATAGAGTCCTTTTCATGCGAATCATCTTGCAGAAATTGGAGTCATTCATCTGATAATCAAGGCATTCCTTTTGGTGGGGAGATGACATTCCCCGATGACCTGCACCAAACTGGTTCGGTGCATAGATGACTAATGCTCTCCCATGAGCCTAATACCCTAGAAATCACTACAAAACCATTTCCCTCTATTCTAAAGCCAGAATGCAACTCAGACAAATATTTCATTTCATCTTTTCAATGGAACTCGGACAGGCTGAATATTTTTGTATATTTAATTCTGCGATGAATTTTGCTTAGTCATCCTCAACAAGGACTCAGGCTGAATCCCACACATGCCAGGTGACTGTGAAAAATAGTTCTCGCATGGGTTACCCTGGGAAAACTTCCTCAAAACCCTAAATACTTGCCTCACGTCATTTTCTCATTCAACAAAGTGACATCAGAACGGAACACCAATGATCATGAATATTTCTCTTGCAGTGCACAATCAGCCTGTCACATGACCCTTCAGTCACATGATGCTAAATCACATGATCTTAAGTCAGGTGACTTTTGATCCAAATCAAGTGATGACAGAACACTCAGCCCAAGCATGCTGACTAATGCTGACTAATTATGGTCTCATTTGGTGCAACATAAGCAACCCCTGCAAAATGATTTTTGGTACCGCTGACTAAGCTCACCCCTCATAGATGGCGGGAAAACGTAGCACAGCCACCCTTTTTTTGTATATAAGACCCAAATTTTTGCCCAAAGAAGAGAGCTTTTTAGCCCCACTTTCAGAATAAAATTGTGTGTGAAGTGTGATCATTGTCAACAACAGTGACCAGGGCTGTCAAGTACCTTCAGCAAAGTCATTGTAACCAGTAGTCAGCCAGCAACTTTCAGTAATCAGCAACACCCTTAGCTCATCACCACCAACGATGACCAAGACCTTGAGCTCACTGTGCTCAATGACCGACAGAACTTTATTTTTATTTTTTTTCTTCTTTGTTTTTGTTTTTGTTTTTGTTTTTGTTTTTGTTTTTGTTTTTGTTTTTTCTCTCTTTTCTCTCTCTCTGTGATCCTCTCTCTTTCTTCTCTTTCAAGTTTCAGTGCTAAGCTTTCATTCATATTTTCAGAAGCTTTTGTGTTGTCTCTTTCGTCCATCTAGACTCCAAATAGTTTAGTGGGGAGACTTTAGGGATTGACAGTAACGCTTGACCTCACTCATCTGAGTAGTGATACTGAGCCAGGATCTTCCTTGTCTGCTAGACTTTAGTTGTTGAATAGGGGACTTGGTACTGAAACAAAGGACGTCCGTTCCTGATTCTGTTTAATACTCATTGTGAGTTCCTTGGCAGCAGGTTCAACAGTGAGCTAAGAGTTCTACTGAGCATTGATTAGTCTTGACCTTTGATTCTACCTGTTTGTGCTGAGGGAGTTGATTGCTGTAATTCCACACAACTCTTTCGAGATACGATTGTTACAAGGCATTGTTGTTGAAGGAAGGTTTGAAGAGGTGTCTTTTTTTCTTTGTTTCTTTTTGTCATCACCATACCGTTGGGTTGACTAGTTTTCTTTCGTCTTTCAATCACTGCCATACCGTTGGAGTGATTTCATTTCAGTTTTATTTTTGTTGGATTGACTGCATTGTTGCTGACCTTACAGAAGTACTGTGGTCTGACATAGCTTGGGAAGTATAAACAGCCACCCACGAACGACCACATTATCAGCCATTGGTATTTGTCTGAATCGCTGACCGTGGAGATATTTGTTTTTATAGGTGTTTATCTATAGATCATCTATCTAAGAAGACACCGAGCAGAAGGGAGATCAGATTGAGCCGTGCCCATAGCGTCTCCATGATCTCTCCATCGATCCGACCAATGCCTTCAATAAAGTTAGAAGCATATCGGACATAGCAGCTGTCCTGATGGCCATGAACGTGCCACAACCCAATTCCGGGAATGATGGTTAGTTGTGGTGCCATTTCTAGAAATCGACTTCGATCCACCCGAACCCGAAAGTCTTTGTTGTATTGACAATTAATATCATAGAAGGTGACAGCCCTGGTGATGCCTTCCATGTTGTGCCGGGAAGCCTCGCAAAGGGTGTAGTCCATGTTCATTTGTCTGCAAGTGACCCATGGTTAACTCGTGAATGGGGAATGGTGGATGTGGCTTGCCTTTCACCTTTCTGAAAATCCACCATGGAGTGAGGGACAAAGCAACCGTGTCTGGCACAGGCAACTCCCCCGATACTGGTGGACTCCAGCTTGTGCCGAGCAGCATTAGCTTGATTTACTGCCTGGTGATTGTTGCAGCTTGATTTTTCCACTGTGTCAGCAGCCTCTGCCAGATGCATTTTATACCTGTCCTTTCCTACCATGAATCCTAGCCCATCAGACAGCCAAACTTCATTGAATGGCTCAATGGGATGCAGATGTTTGGCTTTGAAATTTCCGTCCATCACAAATGACCAGGTGTATTTCCAGCTTGGATTGCTAGTATTATTATGAAGGCCACAGCGGTTGAGAATAGGACTCACTCATCAAGAGATTCATCCTCTGACAACAGCACATTAATCCCAGGCTGAGGACATGCCGGTGACCTGCACCAAACCGGTTCGGTGCATGGATGACCAATACTCTCTCATGAGTCATATACCCTGAAATACTACTATGAAACCCTTTTCCCTTTTATCTGAAGTTGGACTGAGGCTAAAGGAATATTTTTTGCTTTTCTTTTTATTTTCCAAGTCTGTATACCAGCAGCCTGAATATTTTAGTACATTTAATTCTGCAATGAGTTTTGCTTAGTCAGCCATGGTGATGACTCAGACAAAATCCCACACATGTCAGGGGACTGTGAAAAATATTTCCCACATATGTTGTCCTGGAAAAACATTAGTAAACCCCTAAATACTAGGCTCGCGTCATTCTCATCCTTCAAACAAAGCAAAGCAAAGACAGCCACACACAGGATTCATATCATGTGACAATTCTTACTCTCCTTCTGGATTTGTCATCAGGGGTTGGACAGGTCACATGACTTAGCAAAATACCCAACGACTCACTATGACTCACTCTAGATACTTACTATGACTCATTATGACTCTTGATGACTCTTGAATACACTAGTAGCACAGCCACATTTATTGTGTATATAATGACCCCAGTTTTTGAAATAAAAAAAGTGAACAGCAGCACTTCTAGTGGGTGTTTTTCAGCCCATCTAACATCAAGTTGTGAGTAAGGTGTGATAAGTGTCAGTACCAGTGTCAAGAACTGTTTCAAGACTGAGAGGAACATTCTCAAGAGACAGTAATACTGCAAGCTCATCATACTGAACAACCAGCTGTGAGCTCACTGTGTGCAACAACCAGCAAGCAAGGTACAGCCACAGTTATATTCTGATTTCTATTATTCTTTTTCTTTTCTTTTACTTTCACCAACCTTTGGTGGTCTTTGTCCAGAAATATATTTTCAAAATATTCATGTTGTCTCTACGTCCACCTAAGACTCAGAAGTAGCATAGTGGGGAGACTTTAGGAATTGATAGTGAAGCTTGACCTCACTCATCTGAGTAGTGATACTGAGCCAAGATATTCTGTGCCTGCTAGGCTTTAGCCGTTGAAGAGGGGACTTGGTAGTAAACCCAAGGACGTCCGTTCCTGAGTCTGTTTGAATACTCAAAGAAGAGTTCCTTGACAGCAGGTTCAATATTGAGCTAAGAGTTCTACAATAAAGCATTTGATTAGTCTTGACCTTTGATTCTACCTGTTTTGTGCTGAGGGGGTTTATCATTGTAAATTCTGCACCATTTCTTTGGAGTATAGTTGGTACAAAGCACTGTTGTTGAAAGGGAACTTGAGGAAGAATCCCGTATATTCTTTCGGTCATTGCCATACTGTCAGGCTGACCATTGTTTGTTTGTTTTCCTGTCAAAGTCCATAGATTGGATTGACCATTGTATTACTGATCTTGCAGAAGTATCCTTAGCTGAATATACTTTGGGTAGTATACAACTAGCCACCCACAAATGACCACGTTATCAGTCATTGGTATTTGTCTGAATCGCTGACCGTGGAGATATTTGTTTTATAGGTGTTTATCTATAGATCATCTATCTAAGAAGACACTGGACAAAATAATGCGAGTTCTCCTGTGCTCAGGTTATCAGAATGATGGCCAAAGCCATGCTATTTCATTGTCTTCAACTGTCTCCACTGTCGAGCGACCCTCATGAGCTCTCTGTATCGGTCCTTGCAATGTGCTTTGTCAATATGATGTCCAGTAGATGAAGAGGGTAAGGCATTACTGGAACAAGGTGTGGAAACATGCTGGAGGTCATTCTCCAGAGCTTGCTGTAATAGTTCATCCCCAGTGAGAACTGGACCTCACCGTATCGATGGAAAACAATGGATATATTTACAAATATTGTCAAAGCTACGCAAATCGTGAATTCAGCATATTATCGAGAAAGTTGACGTGCGTCGTCTCGATTAAAAGAAGCAAACACACAATTTTGTCAATATTTTCTTGCACATTTTTGCAGACATAGGTCAATCAATCAATCGAACACAGCGAAATTCGAATCACTTGTCACTTGTTTGTGTTGTTTTTAACTTGATAAGTGTACGCGACGCGTGTCCTCACTTTCAACTACATACTAGTATGATGGCTTCATCCCAGGTTGATCTGGTCCTGGGCCCGTGTCTCTTCCTGTGCCCTGTGTTTCGCTGATTATCGATTACTCATGACGCGAGCAACTCTCTGGAAGCTTCATACATGCAAACATAGCAGATACCACTCCCCAAGACCGTCTCGATCATGGCAATGACACTGTTGACACGAGCACCGAGGACACAGAAACACCTGTATAAGTAACATATGCAACCATGGTAAGTCGCCAACTCGTGCTTGTATTATGTTCACAGATACTGATGGGATTGTAGACCTCCTTCCCCATAACAAGAACCCTCTGTAAGTCTTCAAAGACCTTGTTCAAACTGGCACTGACTTGGGTACATGCAGTGCGACGCTTGCTGAGCGAAAACGCGAATCTACTGTCCCCAATCCTGCAGTGACCCAGTACATCGAAGAACGGAAGGTATGTCATGTGTCGATCTAGAACATTGTATCAACCTTTGACCTGGAATTTTGGGCTTAGGTCACTCTGCACACACCGATGGTTCAAGCAGAGTGTCGCAAATGGCTCATCAGCCAATTTCAGGATTTACTGGTCTGGCCTGATGAAAGAGAAGCAGCTGGTACGTACTCCTATGCTACATGTTTCACATGATTGATTTATGTCTTGCAGGATTATGATCCCGACGCGCTGAAGCTGGTAATGAACTCAACTAAATGCGCACTCATCCTGATACAGCTGTTTACATTTTTTTTCTCAGGTCAAGGACAATATATGGAATGGCAATACAGTCAACATCATCAGCAAAATCTCTTCCGGCAGCCTATACTAGTTGGCATCCACCATGGGTGCAGCGGTTGACATCAGGTGGGTTGCTGGCGAGGACCAGGTGGACAGACTGCAGCAGGTAGTATAGTTATGTATATCTCATTTTTGCGGTGTCATTCATTTGTTCTTGCAATGTATATTAGCGTTGTTTTCATGTGATTTCCGTAGTTTCATTGTGCAATATGACTACATTTAAGAATCTACGATAGTCGACGGAAATATCATATGCAAGAATCAGTGCGAAATCGTGAGATCTCCGTCGAACAGCGTCGCTAGAAAATCGACTATAAGTCCCATTCTCTACGCTCATCTACGGAAATCTTATGTCTGTGGCTCATCAATATTTCGGCCGTTTTCCGTCGATATGGTAAGGTCCGGTTCTCACTGGGGTTCATCGCCGAGGTGCTGCATTCAAGGCTGTCCAGTAGAAAATCATTGAGCACTCTGAAGGTGAACACAGTCTTTGGCCTGTTAAAAGATGCAGGGAAAAATCTGTGTCAAAACATTTGAATGTCCGGACTCATGGCATTTGGACATTCACAGCATTGAACCTCCAGGCGATGAACTCTGGACTTGTCGACGATGACCATGGTGTTTTCCTTTGGCTGGAACTCAGGTCCGGACACAAATGGCAGATCTTCAGGCTCGAGCAGGTCTTTGGGTTCATCTTCTTCAAAAAAATTCCACCGATCAGTGACCGCCGGACATTGTTTGCCATCATGGCCAAGGTATATAATGAGTCCCACATGAGCTAGACAACTCCACTCGAAGAATCACCCATTCCATTGACTGATCCAGTGGAAAGGATTGCTACGATGTTGACTCCTGCAACAGCCCATGCAATAGAGTGGCTCACCAAGACAATCTTGACATTTGTACATCCCATCCTGTTCACAAGCTACCAACTCACTCCTACCTTTGGTCGTGACACTGTCCGAAAATTTGCTTTGAACGCTTCCGAAATGAAGAAGATGGCTGCTCGAGACTTCGAGGACCTTCTTCAGGTCAGGTTCTATATTGTCTTTACCACTTTATATTACTCATACCTCAGGCTATCTAATCAGTGCACCATCCCCGTATTTGATGCCCTCCTTCCAGAGCCGCACAATACAAATGTTTTGGCTCTGATTGGTACCTGTGCACACTGGCACGCCCTCGCAAAACTGCGCATGCACACTGACGAGACCCTTGACCTCCTCGACACTGCCACTGTTACGCTCGGAAAGCAGCTTCGCCATTTTCAGAAACATACTTGTGTAGCGTTCCAGACCCGGGAACTAAAACGAGAAGCGGAACGTTGCCAACGCCGGGAGTTACGTGATGGTGCTGGCAATGGAGAGGCGACGACATCGACACACCAGACATCTCGGCGAATGAAGACTTTTAATCTTCAAACGTATAAGTTACACGCCCTGGGCGATTATTCCACTTCAATACGCAAATTTGGCACAACAGATTCATATAGCACTGAACCAGTGAGTACATCGTGATTATATCGTCGATCATATAAAAACTACTTATGCATTATAGGGAGAGCTAGAACACCGAACATCGAAAGCAAGGTATCATCGAACAGACAAAAAAGGATTCGTCAAACAGATTACCAGTATCGAACAGCTCGAAGCTCGTATACATCGCATTCATGACAGGCAGTCGCCACATGGTGCGGTGATTGATGAAGAAGTCGCTACGTCACCTGAGGCTCGTTTCCACGCGGGGAAATCTCAAAACAATCCCGAGAACATCCCGCTATTCCACCAAAGGCACCTGGGCGATCCTGCAATCAAAGTAAGTGCCACATAATCATGACAATTGAATGCAATATGGCGCTGATTCTGAGTAATAGGACTTCTTGCCTAAGCTTCAACACTTTCTCCTTACTAAAATCAAGGAAACCTTATTTAAAGGAAATGATCTTTCACGCATCAACAGTTCTACCGCAATCATGGTACCAGGAGCTTCCCCGGCATGCTCAAATGCAGAAGTCCGTGTTTTTATCAAGGCTGATCACATGTACAGACACAACTTGATGCGTCTTAACTACACGACATACGATGTCCGCAGAGCTCAGGATATCATCAATCCATCGACATCGCATTGCAATGTCATGCTTCTGGGCCAACCTAGCGAGGACGCAACTGACAGTGATCAACATCCTTATCTATACGCTCGGGTACTTGGCATTTATCATGTCAATGTGAGTTATATCGGCCCTGGCATGATCAACTACAACTCGCAACGAATCGACTTCCTTTGGGTGCGCTGGTATCAACACATAGATGTTGGTGAAGGCTCGAGCCGATGTACATCTGTACTAGATCGTGTTTGCTTCCCTCCTATGGCGGATCCAGACACGTTTGGGTTTGTTGACCCTGATAACGTTCTTAGATGTTGCCATGTTATTCCGCAATTCACTCAAGGCCTGCGGTGTTTGGATGGCAGGAGCATTTCCCATTGTGCTCAAGATAAGCTTGACTGGCGGTACTACTATATCAATTGGTGCGTCTAACATCTCTACCTAAATGAGGTTTCACTGATACAGCAGCTTAGGTTTGTAGACTGTGACATGTTCATGCATTATCAATGGGGTTTAGGAGTTGGGCACACATACGCCCATACTAGTCACAAAGCTACTGACACCACTGTAATTTTTGAGGATCTTGAAGAAGAGGAAATTCAAGATCAGGGTATATGTGACTCTGACTCGGATCATTCAAGTTTGGGATCCAGTTCAGGTGAAGACTCTGAAGACGAGTGTAGTGATAGTGACTCTACCCTTGACTATGAAAACTAGATGTGCCATAGGAAGGCAGAACAAGGGAGCTTGACTAGGCCTCGGCTCATGTACTTATTTTTTTTGTCAATGTCATCGTGAGGTTTCGGGAAACCATCGGAAGAATCCACTAGTAGTGATGACGCTTATCAATGGCTTATCAATGGCTCAAACTTGTTGATAGTTGTTGATTTTGGGCTCTGGCGCTGACTACCAACAGCAGCAGCATCACTCAGCCTTTCGCACAGACCGGGGACGTCTCTGGTGCAGGTTCAAGGGAGTGTTGCTCAAGTTGTTTCAATCCAAACAGGCTTATTGTAGTAATCCAACAGATCGATATGAGCCAAACTCGAACGCATCCTTTAAAACATTCAACTTTGAAACCTCTCGCTATCAGAAGCAGTCCTTCAATACCCAGTACTCTTTGTGAGCACTCATTATTTCATTGTTATTTTCTATTGTTAATCACCAGTTATATTTCACTAGTCACTCACCATACCAAGCGGCTCGAGGCAACTCTGAGTATATACGGACAACGATCTTGATATCAGCGTTTGAGATTGGATTTCAAACACCTGCTACAGGAAGTCAAATACTCTACCGCAACAGCTTTGGGTACCCAGGATAGGTCAGTGACATATTCACGTTGATGGGGAGTCAATGTCGAAATTTTGACGGCCACATTGATTCATCGCTATAGATTGAATCTGCGAAGGCTATTCACCATCATAGAGCTGTTCAGAATGAAATCGCTCTGCAAAAACAGGGTACGAGTTCGCCTCGAGTCGATAAAGGTCGCACTAGACTTCGATGCAAGGAATATCGAAAAATAAAGCGATATGATATGACGTGTAAGCTTTAGTAGGTGGGTTTCAAAAGACCGTCAGTATAGTGCTAACCATCGCACCGACTCATCATTTGACAGATTATCACTGCCGCCGTCCCCAATTATGTCCTCACAGCTCAGAGTTGGTCATATCTATAATCCTCCCACAGCTGAGAAGGAAGCGACCATATTTGATTGGTTTAGCCGCTCGGTAAATTCTGAACCTTTGATTTATTTTAGGCTGACTCAAATGCATGACTATTCTAGCATCACTTACTAGTTGAAACCCTCGAGGGGTCTTTCCTCAAGGTGGCTCACGTCCTACCTTGGCAAGTGAACGCGTCCGCCGTGGACATAGAGAAGGCTTATGAATCTGTCTATATGGTAGGTCATATTCCGAGTCTGTCAAAGTACCACTAAAGTCGTCTACAGGATATGCGCCAGCAAGCCGATGTAACTGTAAGTGCTTTCATCGAGAGTTCAGATGGGCTCGTTGGTCACCCCTGACATTTCACTAGTCGTTCACCATCCCACACGGCTGGAAGCAACTCTGGGTATATACAGACAACGATCTCATAACAAGGCCTGTCATTCAAGTGCGTACGCAATATATCACACCGAGGATGAGTTGTTGACTTTTTGACAGAAAGACATGGAGCCAGGGCACAACATCGCCCTCATTGATCATCGCTCCTCTGTCAACGGCTCTCAATTCAGTGACTTTCAAAGCCAGGTTGACACTGGGTTTGATGGAGCATTTTTGGATAATGATTTCATGTCCGCCATAAGTTCACTCAAGGGGCGAATGGACATGCGCAGATACATCAGTGTTCGGGATTGGATTCCCAACATCTAATTCAGGGAATTGTCGGAGTTGTACTGACATGGCTAATGCACACCCACAGGTATACAACAAGAGATACAAATTTGTGAAGTCCCTAAAGGAAAACTGTTTCACTCTCGCTGAGGATCTACGGAAGAAGGCTCTGGGTGGCTTTTTTTTGGAAGACTAACACGCCGGGAGCGACTGACCCTATATCACTCAGCTTACTGGTATGATGACTTGGAATGACGAGGTGACATCGGTTAGCTTTCCCTGCTCTTCCTGGGGTATGAAATTCGTTTGAAATCATAGGATTGCGATACTGATTTGTATCCTACAGAAATATTAGCATGGGATGCCAATCCTGGTAATCCTGGCACTTGGTATTTTGCAGCCGCTCAGGTTGCAACACTGCTCGCTATTAGATCTCTTTCCCGCCCAATACGACAAGCTACCAGAGCATCTGATCGCCAGTGCATGCGGGATGGTGTGTGACATTTGCAATTTGAAGGCTGATTCTTATCCTGTTCACAGCACCATTTTCTTCAGGCGTCGACTTCCTGGATACCCAACAGGTACCAAAATTTCATCCAATGCATTCGAGAGGCACTTGGTCAACCTTTGGGATTGGACTCAGGCGCCTGCTACAGGGTGTACCGTGGCTAGCACATTATGCCTTATTCTATAGGACTCACCACCCCACTTTTGCACTTCAAAGCGGGGTTAGACTACAAGGATGTAGATAATCCATCACATCCCTGCTTGTATGATCCCAGTACGTTCCTTGTAGCACACTTGACTACCACTTGGACCCTATCCCTGGTACCTGCTGTATGAGGGAAGTCGGAAAATAATTGCCCCAAGCTTTTCTTGCTTTACATCTAATACCGATCACTCATTTTAGCTCCAAAGGTGCATCTGGATCAAGAGATAATGATATGATGCCTTAAAGGCAGTGTTCTTGATTGGATTACTCCAAAGGGACAAAATCTCATTAACGTGAAAGTTGACGGTGATTTTCACCGTGAACGGGCAGGCGCGTCGCTGATACTGATGCTGATGCCTCCTATGTAGTTGATTTCCTCCACCGCAACCCATATTGCTGCACTCACGCCCGGATGAACACACATAGGCATCGTGGTCCTCGGAATTGATGAGACCTTCGATGTGTTGCGCTCTATAATGTCACTTGATGGCCGGGATACAAATAACGCACGGAATTGCCTCGCAGATAGGGGACACCAGCAACATTATACTTCCATGCAGCTCCGCCCGCTGCGCATCACTCAACCACGTCACTTGCTTTTCGAGATCGTATTCAACCAAAGCGCACCAGCTGCGTTCCAATCCAATCAAATAACTGTTAGTTGCAACTTTGTCCCGGGTCTGTACGCGATCAGGAGCCAATATGCCAGCAGATTCGCCTTGTACAACTGGACATACCATCTTGGCCCTACATACCACCCTCATGTGAGTACTACCAACGCTGGGGCAAACCGAGCTTTTTACCTGGTCAGCATCTGGCACCATTATCACAGATGCCGTTGCTTCCTCGCCCCCCACTGTAGTGGCGTACATCATTGACACCCCACGGGCGACAGCTCCTGTAACATTCATGTCCAACATTTTGTATGCCTGCAGGTGAGCACTGCGTCATCTAGCAGTTCGACAATACGTGACGCATTATCAGTATCATGTATCAGACAAAATTGCCATTCATCCTTGTCTTTAACGCTACTTCCGTAAGTGATACACTACTCGAGGCGCCTGATACTGAAATAAACCTCTTACAGTGATCCGGTTATCCCACAGCATGCGGACATTGATTGTATACAGTCTAGATGCGAGCACCAGTCATCCGGGGTTGGAACAGCTTCAATTAATTTCGAACAAACCTTGAAGCGCGACAACTCGACTGAGAGCAAAAGGTATCAACCAGCCCAGTCATTCTCTCGTAGTGACAAGCCTGACCATATATTCAGACACTACCGTTGATTCGCGTCCCATACTGACTACAACGCAGTCCAATATGCGACCGCTGCCATCCCGTCAGTATCTTATCATGAAAAATATGATTTGAGATGCGAATCACTTTCCTATTGGTTCAAAAAGGAAACGCGTCGGTTAATGCAAACATGTCTGGTTGTTGGCCTGCACGTGGGGCTCCAAAACTGAAGAAGCTTAAAGCTTCACCGATCCAGGACTCGTTCAGCGTGGAACCTAGTGGTATGGAAGTTGACGTTCATGGTCGCCGGAATGTGTCCAGCGCTTCTGAGATTGACTGTGATGAAGAAACATGTAAGTACTTGTGCATTGTGACCTTTGATGATTGTTTTCTGATAAAGGAAGTATCCTTGGGCCCGCTCAAAAGTCGTCGAAAAGACAAATTTCTTAAACTGCACACTGCAACAAGCTGTCGGACGATACGCACAACCTCACAAAGCTGCGGCTCCGCTGAAGCAATTATTGCAACGCGAGATGATATCATATGATTATCTCCCTCATCTCCTGAGCGGAATATGAGCGACTGCTCCTAGCGACCTTATCTGCCCCGTCTGTCTGTCCTTGGCATGTAATAATCTCAATTCATCGCCATCCATGGCGGGCGCTCATATAACAACATTTTGAACAGGGCTACACAAAAATCACCCTCCTTACAACTAATCCCAGCCTGAAGACTATTCATCTGCACTCTAGACAATGCAGTATGTGCTGCGCTTGAATTCCGGATGGCTTGTTTGACGTGTTTTCTGCAGCAATTCACTCTGTTTCTGTCGCGTCACACCCAGCGGATTTTGTTCACTATGATGCTCTCGCTCAGATCAACTTAAATCCTCAGGATTGCCATACTTATCCAGAGCTGAAGCAGAAAATATATTCTGCATTGGACTGAGGCGATGAGGGTGAACTATCAATTGCAATTCCGTAGGAAGTTTCGCTTCGACAAACCGGCCATACAAACCAATCGCTTTTAACGGTCATCTCAGTGAAGGTAAATTTCGGTGCTCGAGGATTATATGTCACACATTCATTTTTTTTATACCGTATTAGCTGCTATGCCTGAGCCTCATACCCCCATCTCTTCCCACACACCTGAACCCAGACCTGAATTCATGCCCATTGCGGTTCACATTGATTTTATCCTGAGAAGCCCTGTCGATGGCATCCAGTTCGTGCTACCTACCGGCTCCGAGTCTTACCCATATGTAAGCAACTACTATGTTTGTGATGAAGAAGTTCTGATATTTTCCAGCGTGTACCACATGCATATACAACATCATCGTCTCCTGATGCTGCGAGATGCTTGGGTTCCATGCGTCCACAGTGTGTGGGAGAAGTGCACTTGGGAGTTCGAATTTGTTGTTCCTCACTATCTCAAAGAGCCTGATCCTGGTCACTGCGGAGAGAATGGTGATTTTGAAGAGTCCCAGGAGTCTATCCGGACGGTAGTTATCTGCAGTGGCGACCTCATGGATCAGGCATGTCGCCCACGTACTTCTCTTCAGGCGGGCTAACAACGGCCGCACAGGTTGCACATCCTAACAACTCAAACAAAACCATCTTTTTTTTTTCTCAAGCAGTGTTGACGTTCGTACAGCATGTCGCTTTTGCTGCTGGACCATTCCATGTGCATCCCATCCCGACAGAGCTCACATCAGAGGATACGTCTGGCATTTCACAGCCTCTGATGCATGCGTTTTGCTTGCCTGGTCATGAATCTATGCTCCATTCGTCGATTTCATCCCTGCGTTCGGCAATGAACTTCTACAGTACAGAGTTCGGTTCCTACCCGTTTGGATCATACAAAGTGGTAGCGGTGGACAAGATGCCTGTTCAGCGTTTTGACAGCTCGACGCTATCGATAATCACTGTGGACCTTCTTCATGGCGAGGACTCGATTGAGCAGGTGCTTGAAACCTGGCAAGCACTTAGTCACGCCCTGGCCTGTCAGTGGATGAGAATCAACATCCAACAAAAGACATGGTCAGATACTTGGCTCGTAAATGGTCTTGCGCTGTATATCACCGGCCTGTTCGTCTGCAAGCTCCTGGGAAATAATGAGTATCGATACAGGCTCAAGTGGGACATGCAATGAGTCGTCAAGTGGGACAACAGATCGATGCCGCCCATCTGCCAACCACAGCATAATGATCCCCCAGACTCCATGACACTACCTTTTGTTAACTTGAAGGCGCCCCTTGTGCTGCACATTTTGGATCGACGTCTTGGCAAGTCTGGTACCTCGCCCGGTCTTCCTCGTGTCCTGCCCAAGATTTTCTTGTCAGCAATGAGCAGAGTTGCAAAATAATGCTCTATCGACACACTTGTTCTTGCGTACATGCAGGAAGGTCAGTGGAATTGATCTTCGGTCATTCGCTGAGCAGTGGATCTACGGTAGTGGTTGTCCAGCGTTCGGGTTCTCTGCTTCTTTCAATAGGAAGAAGATGGCAGTCGAGATCATGATGCGACAAGATTCGCCAGCATACAAGGTGCTCGAGCACAACAAGGTGTCGAAACTGTTGCATAAGCCTGTACCATTTTTTGAGGTGCGTTTACGAGCAGTAGCATCCTGATCAAGCCCCCCTCACTAGTCTCTAAAGGGCCAAATGACTGTTTGGATCCATGAAGCGGATGGCACTCCATATGAGCACATTTTAGACATTCGTTCGTCCTTCAAACACTTTGAAGTCCCTTTCAACACGAAGTACAAACATATCCGACGAAATACCAAGAGATACTTGGCACGACAAGCGGCTGCTCAGGCTGCAGCGGAAGGCGATGCAGAAGCTGCTGAAGCCATGGGTCTAATCGACATGGGTTTTGGACTTGAGATCTGGGAAAAGGAAAAGGAGCGAGAAAACTGGAAGGTGGCTGACTGTACCGAGGAAGATGAGCAGGTGATGTCGGGTGCAACATACGAGTGGATTTGCATGGATGCCGATTTTGAATGGATCGCCACTATCTCTTTTGAACAACCCGACTTTATGTGGGTGTCGCAGTTGCAGCGAGATCGCGATGTCGTTGCACAACTAGAAGTGAGTTATTTGTCGACAATTCATCTTCCTGACTTAAACTTTCATAGGCTGTTAATGCTCTCGCAAAGCAATCCACCGCCATCATTTCAAGTACATTCACCAAGACAGTGCTCGTCTCCAATTACTATTATCGCATACGGTGTGAGGCTGCGATGGCTCTAGTGCACGTCAGTGTTTTTAGATTTGTTAACTTTTCAAGTTGTTTCTGACATGAAAACATCAGTGTGCTATTCGGAAACTTGATTTCTTGGGACTATTTCATCTATTCAAGTTATTCCTTCGCTACTGTTATGACCCAGAAGACCCCAACCAAGATTTATTCGCTCATACTTACGTCCCAAAGCCTAATGACTTCTCTGACCTGGCAGAATACTTTGTTCGAAAGGTATGTTTTCAGGGTGCTACCTCTATCTCACAACTCATGAATATTGTCACGAGTTCCAAATACAAACCATTATTCGTTCCTTAATTCTAAGTCCTTTAAGCGCCCAGTCACAGCGCCTGTTCCTAAGAATGTGTTTACTGTTGAAGAAGTTCCTATTATTGCGTCTATTGTAGAATTACCAGAGTCACGTGATCTATCGGACAATGCTGAAGATGTTGATGTCATGCCTCGCGACACTCTTGGAATGTTCCAGAGTCTTACTGCGGCTGCAGCACATGTTATGACATCATAGTTATATATAGAATCGTACGATACCTTTAATTATTCTGATTGGTTAGTTAGTTCATACTCAGTTTCGATCTCAGTTTCAATATGTGTATATAGGTAGCTCGTCGTAGTCAGTAGTTCTTTAGTTCAAACCTCTTGTATCTCCAAGTGAGCAATACCAAGACGTACCTGCTGCCTACTTCCTCTGTGTGATTATTCTGTTGTTTGAGTCCTAGTCTCTGCCCAGCGTTAATTCGTTATTGGGTTGTGACAAATATTCAGAGTCTCGTTCATGCAATATCTCAAGTGCGCTTTGAGAATGGCAAGACACCTTCAGTAGTTCGTCAGTTCCTTGTCGACCAGCTTCGTTACAACGACAACACAGCGAATCCGGTTAGCATGATATCGTCACAAATAGTTACTAATTCCAACGCTCTTTAGTACTCAGACGTGTTCTACATATGCACTATGATTTCAGCTCCCAGCTCATCAACGCCGATCTGGACATGTACTACGCGCCCTCCGACAGGCAGCTGCTCAAGCTGCATCAGAAGGCGACGCGGACGTACGTTCGAACGAGCAATATGCTTGACGACGTGTTCGAATCCACCAATTTAATGTACACCGCGCGCTCAAGGTAACTACTGATTCCTTCTGATCCCCAGCAGCCTCCTGACCTCCACCAATTCCTTCCAGGCATTTTCCACCCATTTGACGGTGTCTTCAAGCTCCTGCTCCTTCTGTAACGCCAACAGGGTAAGCCAACATTTATCTTGCTCTGTGGTTGGGATAGGTTCGTACTGCAACGCAGAACAGCGATCTTGGGCGCGACCCTGAGCCGTTTGTGTTGCAGTATTCCATAATGCCTGAAAATTCTAAGTACTGAATATGTTTCATAGTGAGTGCCACGTACGATCGCCGAATCGCTGATGACTAGTGGGCCTGGGATGATCATCGGCGGTTCTGGGACTGGTAGTGGCTAGTCCTGGGATCAGACGAGCTAGATACAGTTAGAAAACTCATGTACCGCTTGTTGCGCTTGAAGATAATCGAACTGGCTGATCTCTTGTTGCAGGTTGAGCTCGCTATGTTCCATTGAGATGTTGTAGTAGATAGCACTTCAGATCTGTGAGGCAAGCGGACTGATATCTGCCTGGGAAATTGCGCTTCAATTGAATCAATTAACTCAGCTTGAGTTTCGTGCGCTCATTATGTAATCGTGAGGTGCCACCGACTTTGCTCAAACTTTAATGAGCTCGCTCTGTTGCTGTATGGCTGCAAAAATACTCGCAACAACCATGGAAGTTATTCATACTCCGCTTGGAGGTGCCGATGGGCTTGCCGATGTCCCAGACCGGTCATTTCAGAGACGCCCTCTATTCTGGAGGTCCACAGATGGGCCTTCGCTTCGAGTACTCGTACAATATATCAAGGTGAACTGGGATATGAGTTCTCATTCTTGGTACGTTCCTGTCATTTTGGTCTCTTACTACTAACAACTTTGAATCATCCAGGTTTTCTACTATGCCCTGAAGTCGGTCACAGTGTGTATTTGACTCACCATCCAACTCATTCAAAGGAGCCTGTTTTTCTCATTGCATCCTTGTAAATTCTGAACACGATGATGTACGTATTCGCTTAGATCTACGTTTCCGTCACACTAATAATCATTTATTGATAATAGCAACTTCACAGTGACGCTGCCCTTGGTGACATCCAGGTCTACCCAGACAAGGGCACCGTTGCTTTCGGTTCAGGTCTTCATGGAGCTTGCTACCCCTGGTCTTCAGGAGCCAGTGTATCTCGGTACGTCCTGCTCGCCTCGTAGTCTTACAGGGTACTAACACCATTCACAGTCAAGATCCAATGTCCTGAGAATGCCATCGGTGGTATTTACAGCGTGTTGAACAGGCGTCGTGGCCAGGTCTCCAGCGAAGAGCAGAGGCCTGGAACGCCCATGTTCACCGTCAAAGTGTACCTTCCCGTTAATGAGTCCTTCGGCTTCAACAGTGATCTCCGCTCACAAACAGCTGGTTATGCCTTCCCCCAGTGTGTGTTCGACCACTGGGAGATCATGAACTCTTACTAACAACTTTGAATCATCCAGGTTTCCTATGTCCAGTGCACACGCCTGATGGATCCCCGTGTGGTCTGCCCAATCATATTTCGAGGGCGTGCCGCATTATCACAGCTCCTCTTTCCGTTGCTGAAATCCTTGCACTCCTGGTGGAAGAGGGCCTCAACGAAAGAAGGATGGCGGGGGAGCAGTCGCAACCCGTGCCGTACGGAGGAAGTACTACACATTTATGTCAGAATTGAATTGTCTTTATCCTGTCACTACCTTGCTCATGCCTGTGCAAGATTTTATATTGTCGCATAATCGCAAATAACACGCTGAAATTTTGGTCTCACTCTGTCGGTCCTGCCATCAGGATTGTAGTTTATTGTCCCTACACGCCATTTTTGCTCACGCTTGGGTATTGCTTTGTCGTAGAACAATCATACTTGCGAAACGTTATATAATTCTGTCAGAATTTTAGTTTGCTTGTAGTTTCTTGTCCCTTCACGCCATTTTCGCTCACGCTTGGGTATTGCTTTGTCGTAGCACAATCATACTTGCGAAATGTTACATATTTCCGTCAAAATTTTAGTTTGCTTGTAGTGTATTGACTATCAGTGCCATTTTGCTCGTGCGTGTGTATTGTATTATTGTAAAATATATTGACATATCATGCAGTAAAATTTTGATTGGACTTTGCCAAATCCATCTATAAAAAGCATGTCCTCCCCAAATCCGTGATGATGTACCCATCTATGTACAATTCTCCCACATCAGCCCACCCATCTATGCATTATCCCCCACATTGGCCCACCCGTCTATGTAATATGTCCTATGTTGGCCCACCCGTCTATATAATTATACCCCACCTCGGCCCACCCGTCTATTTGATATCCCTTTCGTCGGCCCACCCATATACAGTGGCTCAAAAAAGTGTCTCAATGTTTGTAACATTTCATGTAATTGCTTTATTATGAGCCAGGGTGTGGGAATATGACTAAACTATAGGAAGGTGTCATAAAGCTATACTTCTTAGCCTCATTTGAGTTCCCTATAGTGTGGGAAGCTGATGTCATCATGTGCAGATATGGCTATTTTAATTTGGTGACTCATTGAGACACTTTTTTGACTTTTAGTTTGACCAACACAATCTCAATAATTATGATACTTTATGTGACCTTCTGTTGCTCTAATCACTTCTGCCACTCTTCTAGACATGCTATCTATTAATTTTGAATATTTCTTCTTAGCACTCCTTTCTCACTCTGCTGCAACTCTGTCCTACAGCTGAAATAGCCCCTATGACGAATTTTGATAGGCTGCAAGCAATTTCTTGAATATTTTTCAGAGATATTCAATAGGGATGATGTATAGGGACTATGCTAGACATGATAGAACATTGAGATCGTGGTATTTGAGCTGCTAGTGACTAAATCGAAAGCTTACCTCACATGAATGAAGATCTCACATTTACCATATTCTAACTGGGCAGGCTGCTAATGCTACTCAGGCCACCTAATTCATCAATTCCATCATCTTCAGCTCTGTTTCCACTCAAACCATCAATAATACTTGCAAGGCAACAAATATTAAAGCTACAATCAAGAAGAAGAGGACTCTCCTATTCCTAGCCTATAGAAAGAGAAAGTAAACTTTAGCTTTAAAGCACCAGTACTGGACTGGAAGAGGACTGGAAGAGGACCATATTATAAGATCAGACCAAGATAAATATGATGAGGTCAGATGGCTGGGAATACATCTGTAAAAAGACAGGTAAACCACTAAAAGAAAGAAAAAAGTGTAAACTCTTAAGTGTGGAGTAACAAACATAGAGGTATAGGACTGTATGAGATGTAATAGAGTGTATATTCTCTGTGTGAAGTAAAGTGAAGGACCAATACCAAGTGGTACATCTCTATTTTAGATGAGAGTCTGCTAAGAAGCATACAGAAATCATAGATTAATGAGGAAGGTACTATGTTGCAATAAAATAATGATCCTAAATATATGTCTAAATTGGTCACTAGCAGCTCAAATACCACGATCTCAATGTTCTATCATGTCTAGCATAGTCCCTATACATCATCCCTATTGAATATCTCTGAAAAATATTCAAGAAATTGCTTGCAGCCTATCAAAATTCGTCATAGGGGCTATTTCAGCTGTAGGACAGAGTTGCAGCAGAGTGAGAAAGGAGTGCTAAGAAGAAATATTCAAAATTGATAGATAGCATGTCTAGAAGAGTGGCAGAAGTGATTAGAGCAACAGAAGGTCACATAAAGTATCATAATTATTGAGATTGTGTTGGTCAAACTAAAAGTCAAAAAAGTGTCTCAATGAGTCACCAAATTAAAATAGCCATATCTGCACATGATGACATCAGCTTCCCACACTATAGGGAACTCAAATGAGGCTAAGAAGTATAGCTTTATGACACCTTCCTATAGTTTAGTCATATTCCCACACCCTGGCTCATAATAAAGCAATTACATGAAATGTTACAAACATTGAGACACTTTTTTGAGCCACTGTATATGGGTGGGCCGACGAAAGGGATATCAAATAGACGGGTGGGCCGAGGTGGGGTATAATTATATAGACGGGTGGGCCAACATAGGACATATTACATAGACGGGTGGGCCAATGTGGGGGATAATGCATAGATGGGTGGGCTGATGTGGGGGAATTGTACATAGATGGGTACATATATGGGTGAGCCTAGATATGTTCCATCAAGACATACAGCTGATGTAGCCACCAGCGAATCAAACACGTAGGATACATGTACACTATGAGTGCATATACCTACCATCGACCACCAAATCTAAACCCCTAAGCACAAAAACATGAATCGACCATGTGTGGCATTGACCAATAATCGAGGACTGAAGTGGAAAAACCCCACACCTGAACCCTGGTGTGCAACATATCCTATTTCTAAGCATGGACACCAGAAGCACAACACTCACAAAAATATATATGTCAAATTTTCAGTGCCAAACCCCAAACCGAGATGTACCAACCCCCGAATCCTGAATCCCGAGACTCCTGGGTCTCAGGGTCTGGGGGTCCTGGAACTCGGAACTTGGGGAAATTTGAATCAGCCCACCTGTCTATGTAATATTCCCCTACCTCGGCCCACCCATATATGTAATACACCCCCATCGGCCCGCCCGTCTATATAACAATATTTGCCGTACATCTCTCTTCAGCCCAGCTGTCTATAATATCCTACTCTACATATTACCCAGATTGGCCCACCCATCTCCATGAATGATCATATTCCCCCGGCCCATCCATCAACATCAAGGATATATATATCATTGGCATATATGGGCCCACCTGTCTCCATTGGAAATAATATGTGTCCCGGTGTAGAAACAACAATACAGAGAGGAACAAACGATGCTCCAGACTGTATCTGTAAAAGTTGTAAGGTCGTGTATTGCCTAGTCTGCATTACCTGAGGAGACAAGTGCGTTCGACCCTAAAGGGGAAGCAAGTGGAGCGAAGATCTAGTGGTATGCGCTGAAGCGAAGCACGAGAAAGTGCAGGTGCACGCAAGGCGCGGGAACACGCGCGCTGTCTTGTTACTTAAGGGTCTTATATGAAAGTTGTGTATAATGACAACACAATTATACACGGTGAAGACTTCTTGCCAGTCCTTAAGTCCACGGTCTCTGACTTTTCTACTTCGTGGGAGGTAACGTGGTGAGTTCTTGGGAGGATTTAGTTTGTTGTCCTCTTCTTGTGTAGTCTTATACGAAGTTGTTGTGGAATGTTCTGTGTTCTGGATAAATTCGTTAGGTTTGTTTCAGCCTAGTAGGTCGTGTTTCAACCTATGAAAGTCTGTTTCAACTTTGTCATCCTTAGATGTGTCTCACTTTCCGTTGAAAGGGAGAGTCTTATGAATACACATAAAGCTTAGAATGAGAGCTGTTCAATGGTTATATAGTCAACCCCTGTAAGGTAGTATATAACCTAGAGTAGAATAACAATAATGAAAGTTATATAGTCGACCCCTGTAAGGTAGTATATAACTTTAGAATAGATAATGATATCTTAGATTACCTCAAGGCACTTATATTGGCCTGCACTTTAAGTCTTAGTGGTCTCACACGGTTTGAGATAAGAGTCAAGTGGGAGGATTGTATTTCATGGGTGAAAATGGGGTCCTTTTATACCTTTTGGGAACCCCCTTACTAAGCATGATTAATCAGATGGATTGGTAAGAATGTGGCTTACAAACCAGGTGATGAATCAGCTTATTACTAAGTACATTACAAATACAGTGTAATCTTACAAAGAAATTAGAAACCATGACAAACCATGACTAAACATGTTGAGTCATGTTAAATGTTGTTACAAAGCATGGCCAATCATGACTAAACATGCTGAGTCAGCTTAAATAATGTTACAAACCAGAATATTTCCCAGTCACATGATGTGATGACAAATAAAAGCTGGTGGCTGAAAGAAGCCAAATACAAATAAACAGTCAGAAATAAATAGAGATACAAAACTTGGTGGCTGAGAGAAGCCAAATAAAAATAAACAATGAGAAATAAACAGAAGGTCACATGCTTGATACAAATACAAGGTAAAATAAGCCTGTAAAGTGAGAAATAAAATACAAGACAATGAAATAAAGGAAAAATAGAGAGGTAACTTAGTGACAAAGGGCTAGACAGTCTCTCATATCTTCCTTATCACTCTCTATATATCTGACATGGTATGAATCACATACCATGCATGACAGCGCGTATTAGCGCGAAGCGCAGGAAAGCGCGTGCGCGCGTGTGGAAATGGTAGAGAGACTAAGCTTAAGTGATAATATAATACAAGCTAAGTGAAGAGAGGTGCAAAGTGTGGACAAATAGATCTCTACTATGTTCTGCTAACTAGTAAGTGACTGGTAGGAAAAGTAAGTTGTAAAAATGGAAAGTTAGTTGAAAAGTAAGTAGTAGTATGTACTGCTGGCGCTTATATAGCGCGCCTAAGCACGGTCATGCGGAGCCGAAGCGCTACCGAGTAGGTATGTAAGATATATATGGGTGAGAGTCCATGATAAAAATAAAGATGGAACAATATGCAGATGAGAGAAATAAAAATATACGCACTAGAGAATATGGTGGACAGTGGATGGATGCATCTGGATGGCTGGCACTATAGGGCGCTCAAGCACGGGAATGGTGCGCGCATGGCACGCGTTGCATGGGAAAGTTGTGCCTTGTATAGGGATAGCTGTGGGTAGCGCACGGAGTGACACTACAAGTTCATGCTATGTACTCCTTGGTGGGAACTGCCATATCACGCCATGAGAGGCATGAGTCTCTACACCGGCCCATCCATCACCATCGAGAATATACACAACATGGGCCCATGATCTGCTGGCCCATCTCATATGGGATATTATGGAGGTCGGGTGGCCCATATAATACAGAATTTGTCACTGAAGGGGCTTGACAAGATAGCAGAGGAGATAAACAGTCTTGACATCTGAAAGACAGTGAAAATTCCCCACATGAGCATGGTTCACTGGCGCTTTTGCCTCACCCTTCAAGACAAATGAGTTCATCTAAGTATGTTTCGCGTTCGGGCAGCCAAAGGGCGATGGGATCATCCTAAAAGATAATCAAAAAAATACTACAATAAAACTACATAAGAGACTTACACCTGGTGTTCTCCGGCGCCGTACTTGAGATGGCCCATCCAAATGAGACTGTGGATCTTCTACTGCCTGGCAAAACTGAGTCTCATTCCAAGGGTCTGAGTCCACGCCAACAGCTTGTTGAGATAGCGCTTGCTCCTCCTCTTCTATTGCAGGTCTGGAAGCAGACAAGTATGATGTCCGGAGGTTGAAATTTCCATTTGCCTGCAGGCTGAAGTTGTGATGTCTGGTGCTGGCCTGTCCAACAGTTTCACTATGGATATGGTGATTTAATTTTGGGCGTTTGGATGGGCAACCTCCAGCTGACATGACTAAGAGATTGTAACCTGAAGAAAAACAGTATTGAACGACATGCTGATGTGACAAGGGGCTGGAAGTTGGAGGGATATATCCCTGTGGCTGATAGTATGATGACATTGGTGAATCTGTGATACTAGAGCTTCAAAGGAAGCAGTGGGCTCACCAAACAATGCATCAGGCACATGACCAATCAACATTCGTGCTAGTAGAAACAGTACATGGATTTATCGAAAAGTCGATGACAAAATGCATGAATGTAAGCCTTAAATATGGATATCCTTCTGGTACATCAGCTCTCCCATTGAGTGAGCAACCATCAACTCAGTGAGTCCTTCAATGTCCAAAAAATACTGGACATCATCTAGATAAGCAAGTGTAGTGCTTAAGAACTGGGAGACTGACTCAGTAGCGCGAGACTCAGTCGAGACTCCACAGAAAATAACGATTTGATCCTGCACTCGAGTTGCACGGCGGAGTAAGTGTTCGACCTCAGTTTTCGCTGTAGAGAATCATGCCTCTCATGGTGTGATATGGCACTTTACACTAGGAGTACATAGCACAAACTTGCAGCATCACTCTGTGTGCTATCCACAGGTATTCCACTATGAGGCGCAGCTTTCCCGCGCAATGTGCGCCATGCGCACACCATTCCCGCACTTGAGCGCCCTATAGTGCCAGCCATCCAGAAGCACCCATCCACTGTCCACCAAGCCCTCTAGTGCATATATTTCTATTTCTCTCATTTGCATATTGTTCCATCTTTATTTTTATCATGGATTCTCACTCATATATATCTTTACATACCTACTCGGTAGCGCTTCGGCTCCGCATTACAGCGCTTAGGCGCACTATATAAGCGCCAGCAGTACATACTATTACTGACTTACATTTTTACCACTTACTTTTCCTACAACTGCACCTCCCAATTACCTGTTACTACTTACTTACTACTTAGCAGAACATAGTAGAACTCTATTCCTTTACATCTCACACTCTGACATCTCTTGCATCATATTATCACTTAAGTCTAGTCTCTCTATCATTTCCGCACGCGCTTTCCTGCGCTTCGCGCCAATACGCGCACGTGTTCCCGTGCCTTGCTTCAGCACATACCTCTAGATCTTCGCTGCACTCGCTTCCCCTTTAGGGTTGAATGCACTTGTCTCCTCAAGTAACGCAGACTAGGCAATGTGCGACCTTACAACTATTTACAGATACAGTCAGGAGCATCATTTGTTCCTCTCAGTATTGTTGTTTCTACATCACATTTTGAATGATTGAGGTGTCGCCCTTGCCAAGCACTTCATCTGGCAAGCTTTTGACGTACTGAGAGAGGAGATTCTGTGTAAATGTGCAGGGCTCTCCAATTAGCACCAACATCTCATCCTTGATGCTTTTGACAGCGAGCAGCCACGATGGGAGATCTAGTAATCTGTAGATATTTAAATTATGTTTCACTATTTATAAAATAAAAAAAGTCATGACATACAGTGCATCATTCTCGTCATCACTCGTCTCCAGCTCAGATGGATCTTCGTCATCATAGCCCAAGGCCACAGCAAGTGCTCTTTGAATCTCCTGTACCTCCTGTGATGGCTTTGTGAGGCAAAGCTCTCATTGCCTTTTCAATATAGCGTCTCTGTGTCTTTGTATGTCAGTTGAACTGTCATCTGTCAAAGACAATTAATAAAAATCAAACTTACTTTTCATAATGATGTTGGCATCTCTCTTGACTCACTGCAAGTTTTGCTTGTTCTGTTTGATGAGTGGTGGGATGCAGCATGATGATTGTGCAGACTGGGAAAATAGACAAGTCAGCAAGGATATGTGAGAGACCGGCAGAGGGATGTATACCAGTGTATGGTCCATCGCGAATCCACAGCCTGAGGGCCCAGATACGAGACCCAGAAAGGGATAGAAGTTTCTGTGCTGAGAGCGAATGGAGGATCAGCTGTAATACAACATGCATCAGCCACCAATAGCGACTTCGTTGACTTGTCTAATAGGGTTACGTACATACATAGATACTGTTAGCATATTGGTGATAAATCTCCCCCTTTTCATATGCTTCATCCAAGGCATCCATATCGATCCTAACCCACGCAATTATATCTTGTAGTGACACCCTGACCTCTCGCACACGTGTGAGTACTGCACTTCCTACCTTGCGTGCCTCTAGTTCTAAATCCTTGATTATATCAAGCGCTGCGAGGATATCGATGAGCACATTCATCACTTAAGACTCCTCACACTGAATCAATGCGCAGCATAAGGTTTCTGTAAACTCGCGGGATGAGTTGCTGATCACTGCGAATAACTGTTGGTTTATAGATTTCGTATTCCTAGACAAAAATTTTATGAGTGGAGTTACAGTAGCTAGCTGACAACATACCTTTCTTTATATGTCTGTCTATACTTATGAGCAGCTCTTGCCTTTTCTTCAGATGAGTTGTACAATTGAGGTCGGCCCATAGTGAGTGTGCCAGGGAGTTATACACATTGGTTGGTATGCAAGGGAGATTTACTGCATGTTCTGAATGCCCAGGTTGAATACCACTATCCATTCAAATATAATAAGAAAATACCTGAGTCTGTGTATGCACCCTGGTTGGTGTGTGAAGGAGATTTACACCTGGTTGGAGTGTGAGAGAGATTTACACGTGAGGCCTGGTTGGTGTGCAAGGGAGATTTACTACATGTGCGCGTGAGGCCCTGGTTGGTGGTGCCCGAGGGAGATTTATGCGTGGGATAATGATGACATGTTGCAAATAACACACAGCTCCTTACTTAAATTTTCATTTCGGTTGCCTCAGCAAAACATATCAAGTCAGTAACATACATGAAACACGTCACTGTCATGTGAATATGACTAAATCCAAAAATAGCATGGCCCCTCCTAGATGGACGTCAGTTGAACAAGAGGCTTGGTTGCAACCTTGGTATGAAAAATTCAAGGCAAAGCAGGGTGAAAAAAGCAAGAACTACAAGAATTTCTTTGCCGACCTTTGTGAACAATGGTTTGAAGAGTTCCCAGAACCAAGGCTGGTGTTATGACGGTGAGTTGTGTGCAGACTGGGATGATCTAACAGCGACGATCACGACAGTGATACCTCATGCTGAGAGTCCAAGGTCAGCTCCTACAGACAAGCAGGAGTTGCGTACGCTAGCGGAGGCGAGCGATTGTAGCAGTTACAGGCAGAAGGGGTCTCAAGTCCTTCTGAAGGTACAGATCGAATGTCGAGCAAGTAGCTTTAGCAAGACAAGTGGTTCAAGGTAAAACCCAGTAAGATTAAAGTAAGGAACATCTACTTTAATCATCAACCTTATATAAGGCTACTCTATTGTATCTAAGCTCAGCTTGAAGCTGGGTTCTAATCTGCTTATCTATCGAGTCAGAGATACCATGCATGAGGCAGGCTTCTATCTAGGATAAGGACCGTGAGGCGTCCTTCTATCAGTACATGAGGCAACCATGAGGCTTGCCTTCTATCTTGATATCATTAATAGGTCATCTAGACCTATGTCGTCATCTGTCGTCATATGCGGTCCAGACCGCTTATCTAAGCCGGCATCTTCCGGGCTTCTCTTCTATCTTCTATCATCAAGGCCTAAAGGCCCGGGTATCGTGTCTTTGCCGTGCAAGGTGGCAGAGGGTATATCGGTAGCTGGGGGCTCACGCCATGTTACTGTAACAGCCGGGTCACATCACACAGGTAGGACCCCTGACGTTAATGGAGATGGGTGCGGCTCATGATGCACATAAGATGGTGAGTATTCACCCATTAGGCTATGGATAATGATGTGACTAAATACATACGACAAAGAAATTATATACTTGATTCAAAAATAGCCTAGGAGGTTCAAGATCGGGCAGAAAGGGGAAGGCAAATACAATGAGTGTGATCAATGCCGTGGTTCGAAGCATTACTGAGTGCGAAAAGCCCATGTGCATGCTCCAGGAACAGGAGGCATACTCAAAATTGTTCTACACAACTTGTGTTCAGCCAACTGTTAAAGGATCTCTGGAGAAAGCTGCTCAAGAACACAGGACACTTACCAATGGCGAACACATCACTCTTGTGAAGAAGGAGACTGCAATGTTATATGCCCAGGAGTCGCCTGATATCAAGGACCAAGTGAAGCAGTATCTCGAAGACCAGAAGCAGCAGAGAATCCAAGATAAGCAAATCGGACAGAGGCAAATGTGTGGTGATTACTCAAGGTGAGCTCATGTTTATTACATTCAGTGGCACCATATCACCAACTTACCTCTGCTTCAAAAAGAAACCTTGACAAACTTGCAGCAGTTGCTAACTCATTCTTGAAAGGGCTGGCAGAAGCAACTGGGATGTCGTTCTCCCTCCTTGCTGGGGGTCCGTCTCCAGAAGCACTTGGGACAATTGATATCTATAGGTAAGCTTGCATTTTACTGAAAAAATTAAAACCATATCTTACTTGTTCAGTTTTCATGTCAGTCAAACGAAGCTAGGTAACAACTTTAGCACCACATACCCTGGGTTTGATGCCGGTGTCATGGAGCCCTTTTGAGACTTTCTACATCGAGTATACCATGAGTTTTTCTGAGCAATTGAATTCATTAAACTGACTGGGCATTAAATTTAATAGCTGAGGCTGGTGTATCAAGCCCACAACAGCAAGAGGGTAGTAGTGGAACTGGTGGTGACACAAGGGATTCGTTGTTGCACTTGGATATATATAAGTCAGGTAGTGAGCTTCTGTCCTTTTTGGATGTATCATCATCAGGTACCGGCAGCATCATTCATTACTTATCCATGATTGATGTATCATTGTCAGGTACCAGTGGTAGCATCTCTAATGCCTTGTCCACTGGGGATGTATCACTACAGTGGTCTGATATGCAATCAACACAACACAATACATCCCTCGATGGACTCTTCTTACAATCTCCCATCCTTCCAGAATCACTCACAATGGCGCCTTTGCCCCCATTGCCCCCTTTGCACAGCACCTGCGATGACTGGACGCCCCCAGACTTAGATATATTTCTCTCCAATCTGGATGTTCAGATGGGGTTGGAGCCGCTAGCTGGTGCATCTGAAATATCTACTCTTACCATGGTCCCACTTCCCCCTGCATCACCATTCACTGCTAGTACTGCCACCCTGCCTCCAGACACCAGCTCAAGCATACTGCCCACCATCTCTCACACCCCTCAACTGGACACTACTTCCACTCCCCCCCCAGACACCATCTTGAACACACTGCCCACCATCTCTCACATCCCTCCACCAGTCACTACTTCCGGTCACCCTCCAGATACCAGCTCAAGCACCGAGTCACTCACTGGCGAACTTCCTCTCTCTTTGACAACTCCTTCCTTTGACGCGGATCCATTGGCACCTACCCCAGGAAGCAACTGTCTTGATGACATAGACATCAATGATGAACCAGTGCTTGAAACACGCAGGACCAAGCACATCCCCAAGCCATCAACACGCAACGACACTGCAAATACGATCGGCGCTTCTCAGAAGGAAAACAAGCACCCCCAGGCTGAGATGTCTTCAGACCACGGATCCAAGTGAGTTGCGGCTATATCCAATATTCATTCTCAACTTGATTAAATACAATGAACAGGAGGGAGAAAGTGTGATGGGTCCTGAGTCACTCGTTCAACATATCTTGCTCATTCTGTTATCATCATTTGGCCATGCCATTTTAATTTTTGGTAATGCAAGCATAGTATAGTACTTGTAATAAAGACATGTCCTCCCTAAAAAGATGCAATATATTGTTTTCTTGCATGTATGATATAGTTGGACACATTTTGAACATAACAAATGAGACGCTACACACTACTAAAGGTCATGCGGCAATTGACACTCGCGAAACTACAATAAAACTTAAATTTCTTTCATGTGCACACCTCCGCTCTCAACTGAATGTTGTACTGAGATGACCTTGTCCGCCTGACGATGTTGTGGCTGAATTTGCAGTTCTAGATGAAGTTGAGGTGGTCAGTTACAATGGCGAGGATGATAAATGGAATGAAGCAGAACCTTAATGATGTTGAAGTGCTGGAGCAAAATACTTTGTTTTAATGAGCCGGATTGAGTTGAACATTTTGTAGATGAAGTTGAAGTAGCAAGTTACATGGCAAGAATGATGGATAGGACGAAGCATAACCTGGCAAAATGCAAGCACATGAGGACGGTGCGTCTAGGAAAAAGAAAAAAAAGGATTTGAACTGAGAAATCAGAGGAATTCAAAGTGGCGAATTACGTGGCGAGAATGTCGGATAGGACAAAGCATAACCTGGCAAAATGCAAGTACATGAGGACGGTGCGTCTAGGTGAAAGAAAAAAAAGGATGTGAACTGAGAAATCGGAGGAATTCAACAAAACAAGTGGATGTGCAAAGAAAAACATACCAAGCACAGGAAGTTCCTCATAGGCACTAGGTGAAGTCAAAAAGATAGATGAAAATACTATAAAGACAAGATCATAAGCAGGTACAGGCAGGTACAGGCACTCACCTCAGATTCAAGAGAGATCTGCCCTCAATGGACCTGCTCATTGAAAAATCCAGTCAATGGAAGCCGATGCAGAAGAACCAAATATTGGGTCCTACGGGAGGCAAGGGTCAACAGGTGGACAATGTCCATATATAGCATTCAACCTCCGTTTTTATGATTAGTAAGCCTGTAAAGCAGCTGCCCTAGGGATACATCCTGTCTGGATAGTGGACAATTAAACTGAATGATGTATCGGAGTTTCTGGCTTATAGTACAGTATAGATACATCTTTATAACAGTATAGGCTGAAACGAGATATCAAAATGTTTAGGAGCCTGGCATGGACGGCCAACGGAAAACTTATCTCCGGTTCATATAACCGGATTAGGATATTGGACACAGCGACTTGGCAGGTGCCGGTGATCGCCAATCTGGAAGGTGGTCAATGTCACACATCAGGGTGAACGATATTTAAAAGAGGTTTATATGTTGTACAAAATGTGAAGACAATATTTAATATTTAAACTGACATAAAGATGGGTGCACAACTTCAAATTTTGGTGGTGTTTTGTGTGTCATCCAAAATATCAAATATTCACAACCATATTCCCACAGACAATATGTCAACAAATATAATAAATATAATCAGATTTTCCATGTCTGCTTCAATTTAAAGTTTGATTCTTACATAAAACTTTGGAGAAAACTTGAAGTTTTGCCAAAGCTTGACATTTAAATCGAGTTTTAATGTCATGTCATCTGTAAAACTTCAAGTTTTCTCCAAAGTTTTACATGGAAATTGAACTTTAAGTTGAAGCAGACATGAAAAATCTGACTATATTTCTTATGTTTGTTGACATATTGTCTGTGGGAATATGGTTGTGAATATTTGATATTTTGGATTACACACAAAACACCACCAAAATTTGAAGTCGTGTACCCATCTTTATGTTAGTTTAAATATTAAATATTGTCTTCACATTTTGTACAACATATAAACCTCTTTTCAATATCGTTCACCCCGATGTGTCATCACCTTGAACGATTGCTTGTATGTGCATCCATCGATAAAACAGCGCGTCTATGGAATCTCGACACAAACCTCCCAGTTGGTCCACCCCTCCGACACGAAGATGCTGTGCTCTGCGCAGCCCTTTCCGCTGATGGAAAGCTGCTAAAAACGGAAACACGTATGTGTGGGACATTCAAGCCATCCTCAAGGAAGATGGCCTTGAAGCCCTCCTCCAACCACTATCTAATGTGAATTTCACGGTTCTTTAGTAGACACGATGCTAATCTCCCATTTGCAGGTCCCAGCTCGAATGAACGTACGTAACATGTTTCTTGGTCTTTTTAACCAAGTTAAGATCGTCACTCTAGAGCAATGCTACTCGACGTCCACCTATCCAGGCCCGTCGAATACCACCAGCCTTTTTCGATGGCCTACAAAATGGCCCCCAGGTGAGTCGTCTGCTTTTGTTTGATCAGTTCTTGTTCTGACTGTATGTATTCTCAGTCATCCGCAACACGTAGTACCCATCGTTCTCCCGCTCGCAGCACTCTGGCACCTCTTCTCAAACATTTTTTATCCCTTTTCCACCACTCTCACTCGAATGTTGATGAAGCAACCGATCTCCAGCAACGCCCAAGGTGGTCGATCCTCTCTCGTGGTCCTCGTATCGTCGAAGTGGCTGCAGTAAAGGACAGAGAGGTATACATCTTTGCGTGCACTTCCCATCGCCATTGTCTAATCATTTCTGTTCAGGTTATATTCACTGCTCCCCCACCGCCAGAAAAAACGCAGCAGCAGACCCAATCGCACGCCCAGGAATCATCTACGACACAGCCTGCTCCAGGTACTAATCCTACTACACCACGTCGCAGATACCCACTACCCGTCCGATTATTGGCTCATCTCGTGCTTTTTTGTTGCTGTGCATCACCTCAGCACGCTAATGAAAATGCACAACGAACACAGCAGCAAAGCCAAGTCCATGCCCAGGCGTCATCATTACAGACTCAGTCTACTGCCGCCTCGACATCCGCTCCTGCGACTATTCCTACCGCGCTAAGCGCAGCAAGCGCGTAGCCACGGCCCCTCCTATGGCGGACTCATTTCGTTGTCTCTTCTACTGTGCAACTCCCCCACACGCCGATGGACATTAATACTGGTACACTATTTCATGTTTGCTTCTAGTTCTTCAGTGGTCTAATCTCTTCATATCGTTTGGCAACTACGTACATCAATCATGATTACTCGTCATGAAACTCGTGCAATGCATCGTTCGACAATGTCAACCGTTGCAAGAGGAACATTTAAAAAAAATCAGTTTTATGGTCTGTGACCCTACGTCGGACATAGCCCTATTCGAGTGCGGAGTGCTTGCTCTCGGCTTTCTATCGTAAGGTAAGAGGAATATTAAGACGTCGACTAGCACGGATGATGGTTCATTGTCCTACACAACCCATTCCCCGTCCAGATCTTCATTTCGCAACTCGATCTCGTCACCTAACTAGGAGAATAGTCAACGCAGGGAAGATTCGGCAAGAGAATATCATCGAAAGTAGCATGCTTTTGCTAACCGTCGTCTTCGATGAATGTTGTATACGGTAGCCTAATGCGCATCTGCCTCGAATCATGCCCGTAGTAACATCTGATCGGTCTCCTCTGGCACGTATATCGCTGTTTCCAACTTTCAGCGCAGCGTTCATCCCAAAAATCTGACGCAGCGCTCTTGGCTCTTGGGTAAACCTTCACCTCTGCATCCACTCCTGATTCCACGCCATGCGCGATTTCTTAACTGCAGTTCACAGACATGTACGCAGACTGGACCTTGGAAAACAAACCATCTTTCCGAAAGACAATGACAAGGCTGTCTTATAATATAACTGCGGCCCTTGCATGTCTTCGCATTCAGTGTAATCGTACACAATCCACCACTATTCTCTGTAACATCCATATCAATACCTATGCCGCGTTGAAAGCATCTCCCACAGCCTTGATGGCGTCGTCAGCCTGCTGCTTCCCAACTTTCAGCGCAGCATCCATCCCAAGAATCTGATGCGGTGCTCCTGGGTAAACCTTTGCCTCTACCTTCACCCCAAGCGACTTCAACTTCTCGCCATACGCAAGCCCTTCATCTCGCAGAATATCAAGTTCGCAGACGCTAACGAATGCAGGCGGGACCTTGGCAAGCAAAGCATCCGACGCGAAGATAGGCGAGTTGTCTGGCTCTGCCCAGGTCGCAGGGTCAGGAAGGTACATGTTGCGGAACCACATCATCCGCCCTTCGCACAGCCAAACGGTGTTCTGGCACTCTTTCCAAGACGGATATCTCTCGTCGGTGACGGATGCCGTGTTGTCAGTCACTGCAAGCTGGTAAGGGAGACGGACATGTGCAGTGCTCTGTGCTTACCAGGCACAATCAACAGCTGGAAGATGATGGGGATGGGAGGCGTGAGTTCTTGCGCCTTGAGACATGCGATTGCAGCTAAATTGCCGCCGCTGACAAAAGTTATGTTTCATCATGGATTCACACGGGATGGGACGGTACGCACCTGGATGACCCTCCAACCGCGATTTTGTTCACATTCGCGTTGAACTCTGCCTTCCCGTTGTAGTAAATGAATTTCAACGCATCAACCGTGTCCTCGACCGCTGCAGGATATGGGTCCTCAGGAGCCAAGCGATAGTCCAGAGCCACCGAAACGCAGTTGTTATCTTAAACGCAATTAGTAAACTCCAGTCCGACAACGGTCTTCACTGTCCGACCTCACCTTTGCATTGGCGAGATATGAATGAGTTCAAAGTATCGATACTCCCAAGCGTCCATCCACCTTAGGATTCTCAGCTGAAATCTGCCGAATAATCATAGACCGTTACCTCCATGGATATATAACAACACCGGCCACCCTTCTGCAGGAGGAGTTCCTTCAGGTATGAAAGCCCGAATCTTGCAGTTCTGCAGACTGATATCTTTGACAGCCCCGACTGTCCTAATAGGCGAGCCACCTGGGATGTAGGGTGCCTTCCTGATATCCGGATGCCAGGGGATCGTGTGCGGGGGCACGCGGTGGGCTAGATGGATATTATGGAACGCGACGTATTCAGGGTCGAGGCGGGGAAGAATGTCGGGGTGGATGGCGGAGGGAAGGTCTGACATGGTGCTGGTAGGACTCAGGATGATAAGGTGCAATCAAGCAAGGTAGTTCCGTGAAGCCAGTACTTGAATATCGCATTCTCGGTGATGACACTTATGACGAGGACACATGACCTGAGATATAATTGGCCAAGATAAGAGTTTCTAGGTGGGAATTAGAGATACACCAAAGGTCTACTCGCATTTGATCTTGTTTACTAACCATCGGAAGACCGTTCCTTCTTTATGGATTTTCGGTCACATGTCGCAGCTCCAGAGCATGATTGATTAGGTTGCCACCTAAGTAAGATCAAATTACGAGCAGTGGCAGAAAAATAGGAAGTTTGTAGAACCGGCATCCATGTTCCCTCACAAAAAGCAGTCTAAGAAAAAGAGGAGTGATAACTTGAGTCTGATGTCGCCAAGTTAAACTCGACCGAAAGTTGGTCCAGGTCGCTTTCCAAGAACTTCACCATCACAACTGCGTTGATGCAGTATAGGAGCATATCAGCTCTCGTGTGTGATCCATAATTGGAAGAGAGGAAAACGGTATTTTCTGCAGGTTACAATGTTGTCTGTTGCACACGAGTCATCAGTGCCGTCGTTGAGGTTGATCAAAATGTGAGCGTATTACCCCAAAGATACAATCAATAGACGGATCATGATGAGGGGAGCGAATAATTCTAGGAGGCTAGAAAGCTTGCCGATCTGTGCGACGATTTTTCCAAAGACTACTGCCGGTGTTTTGCAGGGTGCTTACTGGCTGATTGAGCAAGATGCTGAACAACATACCATTCACTGCACCTGAACACGATACATTATTTTGCAATTAACCTACACTAGGAATCTCCAAGCCAGCTGCCTTAGCGACTCGAATAATATTCTCAGCCTGGCCAATGTATCAGACACTTTACTGAATAAGAAACCGTACGGACCCACCTGCTTCAACATCGGAGCGTCGATCATCTCCTTACCACCCCCCTCCATCTCTAGGCCAAAGGCGCCCTTTTGAGATGAATGTGCAACTTCCATTTGGTGGAGAATCTTTGCGGCGCGAAGAATTTCTACGCGAGGACGTCGGTCACAGTTAAATTTGGATGGAGATGACGCACCCTTCTCCGTAGGAACAAATGTCGAATGAATGGTATCAACTTGTGTGGGGTGGATAGCTTGCTAGAAACGATAGTCATGTTCAGTATGTGTCCCACTTCAAATCAAGACAGTATTTACCTTCCCGTTGAAACCAAGCCTCCGGCCATCTTCGCATTCGTCTTTTAGATAATTAAGGTCTTTGTAGTTGACACAGACCTATGATGCTCGACTTTAGTTCAAACATGGCAGTGGAATCCACGGACCATATCTATGGCATCCAATCCGAAAGCCTTGGCAGCAGTTGCAATCTGGGAACGTACATATAGAAGCTCAAGCCTCGAAGGCGTCCGCACCACCGAAGTATCAGCACAATCTGTATCCAAATAAGCTTTCCACTTGTGCCCGAGTAGAAAAGCACTATACAGTCTTCTGCTGCAAACTACAGACATATTCCATCAACTAACTAGGAACACTGATAAAGAAGAAACATACGAGTAGAGCGCCCAACTTCCCACCAACATCTGGGCCATACTCCGAAGCCCAAGAAGCAATCTCCCCGAGATTCCATGCGCTGCGGGCGCTTTCGACACTCGCAATGATTCGTATGGGGAATGACGTGGAGGTTCTGGCCCGTGAAATTCGAACGGCTCGCGAGACGTGATGAAGGTCGCGGGCGGAGTGGATCTTGGGCAGTACGAGTGTTCGGACGAAAGGTGACTTGAGCTAGGTGACAGGCAAAACTTGAGTAAGATATGCATGACGGGGATATCGAACACCTACGATTTCGGATATATCGTTCTCAAAAAAAGGCATAGTAATGTCATTTAGGCGGACAGCGATACGCTCGGGGTGCGGAAGCTTGTGCTCTGGTGTGCGCTATCCAAGCGTCAGGCCCAAGATACGGAGAATACGAATGTGCCCACGTACGCTTAGGAACGTACTCAGCCGTTGTCTTGCACTGTCCTTGTCGTGAAGAGAAGGCGGTACGCTGTCCTCGAGGTCGTATATGATGATGTCGGATGGTGTGCTCAAAGACTTGTCCAGCATCCGGTCAGACGACGAGGGTACTGGTCATCATTCAGCTTGAAATCTAGGTCAGACGTGCATGTCTATAGCATACCGTATAGATATGACCGACGAAGCGCCTGGTCAGTCTTGCCATTACCAGCAGTACTCAGTGTACGCATGCACATAGAGCCATATCTCCGAGTCAGGCTCCCGCACACGGCTATACGCGTAGGTGATGCTAGTTGCATTAACAGCATCGACATCGCCACGTTCTGAGGCCTACTACAACAGCTTATTCGATGTTGGAGGTTCCGCCTGAGTAAAGTTGGACTTTAATGATCAGGGAGCAATCAGGGAGTATATCCGGTTCTGACTCATGTGACGAAGAAATTCACAAGCATTTACTATATACGATATCAATGCAACACGGTGACAACAGAATAACGAACAAGGTCAACGAATGAATCACGACTTCCCAATCAACCCTGTCCAATCAAACTTCTCATACATCTTCTTGAACCTCTGTATCCGATCCTTGTTATGCCGATAGTCAACCCTCCGTGGTCGCATCCACCGACGTGGATCAAGATCCAGCACATTCCCAATAATCTCTCCCGCAAAATATCTGCAAGTAAGCACCTTCAGCAACCAATCATCAAGCATGCAAAAAACAAAGACACACCCCGGAAAATCCCCACCGCCTTTATCCCCTTCATCTAACGCCCCATCCTCCTCACCAGTCGCCGCAGACTCTCCTGTGCCCTCAATAACATGCCCGTATCCCTTCTCCCCTTTATAGTCAAACTGCACCATGAAATATGGAAGGTTCGGCACCATCGCGCGTCTGAACCCCCCAGGCCGCGCGGAAAAATCGATAACCTTCTTATGTGTCGACCACTCTGCTTCAGATGCGAGGATGCTCTCCTTGAAGTATGCTGGAATATCGTCGTACTTGTCCCATGTGAGCGGTACACACTCGATGGAGGTATGCTTTTGCGGTTTGAGAGAGATGACAGTTTCGTAGAAGATGACTCCTTTGTCTTCTTCAGCGAACATGCGCATAACGCTTTTCATGAAATTCTATAGGATGTGTCAGTATGCTTGTATGTAGAAAGTGGTGGTTACGCACTCGCACTTCGTCCCAGACGTCATCATCAGCCTCCAGCATTGTAAGGTGATGTTGTATAGGTACGATGAGACAATGTCCGTCTAGAAGTTCCTCATTCAGCGTACAAGAGAGGTAGGCTTGTGTGCCCATCGCCACAACAGGTGCTTTTGGAGGGGAATCGTCTTCACCGTAGCAGAACTGGCATGTTGCGAGGGCTTTTTGAGTCCGTTTGTAGTCTGATCGGGAGAATTGTTCGGAATCAAGAACTAAGATAGAGGATGCAAACCTACCGTGAACAGCAAACTGTCGTTTCATTGCGTCGGTTCGCATCTTTTGCCGCCCAAGTCGTTCCGCATTATCGTCCATGTAGTCAAGATCATTCTGTAGATAGTATTATGAGTGTCAGGAGGAGCACAGAAGTTGTTAGAACTTCCGCACCTGAAACTTGCCATCTCCCATGATGGCCTTTGCGAATTGGGCATCCAAATTCTTTTGGTCTGCCATTCCCGCTCCAAATCGCTCCTGCCTAACCATTTCTCCCAGAGTGATCTCATCGTCATCAGCGTTATACCTGAGAAGTTCTCCCGTCTTCGCATCACGCGTTTCAAACTAACCAGCATATAGTCAGCGAGATGGTATTGAAGAATGCAAATTTACCTTCTCTTTCTTCCTCTTGTTACCGGGCCCCTTCTCTGAGTCATCCTTGCCATGACCAACATCATACATTCGTCCTCTGGCATCCAATGTCGGTAGCACTTCCACGTGCGTCCTGACTCCTCCCTCCTCACCATTCGCCCGTCTCACCTCTGCTTCGTACTCTTCTTCAAGTGTCTCAGCGTTCGGCGCATTCATCAATTTTGCACGCAGAACCTGAGCTTGTAACTTGTTCAGCGATGAAGGCGACATGGCACGACGTGTACTTGTTGACGCCATAGACGGTGTCATGACGTTCGGGATTGGCGTATGTGACTGTGCGAGTGGCGATGCAGCCTGCGATGGCAAACGTAAAGAATCGAGACGCCGGTTCGCAGGCGGATTGGTGGGGGATGGCGTGGATGGGGTACTTCCTGTTGGACCTGATCCAGGACGTCTGAAGGACGAGCTACGCGACGAAGCGCCGCTCGCACCAACATCAGTAAACATGAACCGTTTCTCCCCGCCAGTCTCCCGCCCTCGACCTCTCTCGTCCTTCCGTTCTGAACGCTTGCCTTGACGTTCGTCAAGGATGCGCCGTTCTTCTTTGGCTTCTTCAAATGCTTGCAGCGTACCAAAACGTTCGAGCGCAACTTCTTCGATGGGTTTGTTTTCCTCTTCTGCGGTCTCGTATACGCGCCGAAGACGCATCATGCGCCAATTAGAGCCTGGGCCACCAGGGGTTGTGACCTTTGGAGGTGGGGGAGGTACATCATTATCGATTGAACGTCCAGTACGGATGTCTTGGTTGAGTTCTTTAGAACTGATTTTGATCTGGAAGTATATTTTCGGCTTATGTATGAAGACTGAAGGAGTGGTACTGTACCTTGTCAGGATCAGCTTTGTCAGGTCGTGGTGGTCGCTTGCGTTCGGTGCCAAGAGAAGAAAAGAAGTCGACGCCTCCGGCAGGTATGCGTTGGCTCGAAGAGGATTCGCCGTAGTCCTCTGTAAAAGTCTCGTCTCCTGTGGGTAACCCCTGGGCAGATGGCCTCGACAAATTCAAAGGTTCTGCAATACCACCAGATGGCATGAGCATCCATTCGTCACGTTGTAGTCTCGTTTCCGTTGTCAAATTAGGTGGCAGCGACGGGTCTGCCTCTCCGGCAGTTGCATGACTCGTGATCTTCAGGCTCTCTGCAGTTGGAATATCCGTTGCGAGAAGCTGATGAGCAAAACATGTCAGCGCCACGTAGGCAAGACAAATACGTACTCACCCGTTCTCCGTCGTTGTCGATGTTCTTCTCGACCCACATATCATCTTCGTTGGCGTCATCGTCCGTGATGTTGACCTCTTCTGTGTGAGACTTGCGTTTGTGGGATTTGTGCTCGGACTTGTGTTTTTTCTTGCTTTTGTGATCATCCTTGTCTCTACTACGTTTATGCTTGGAAGTTGAGTGTCGTTCGCGGCCGTCTCCCATCTTGTTCGATGTCGAGCACGGTGACGACACTTCGGACGAGTCTACAGATCAACAAGATACCAAATTTGGTAATTTTGTGGCGAAAGCGTTTAAGCACGAATTGACATATTTAGTAGTGTGACATTGTCGTGGCTTCATATATGTAACAGCTAAACCTTGTCACATCTAGAGCCTTATGTCGAGCGACCTTCACCGTTTCATCAGCGATAACTGTGTTAGGGTAACGTCCGTTCCCCCCGCCATATACACCTCACCTGATATCGCTTTACAGCTTTTTGGTCTTGCAGACCGGAGTATCATCGACTTCGTACAGGCTTCGGGTATGACCCATTCCATATGTTTCCACTTGTCATTACTCAAATGTTGTCTTCTAGCATCGACATCAAAAACGCCAGACGCTCTATTCTCCTCTCTCACTGCTTCTGGCCTTCCAAACACACCCGACGCACATGTATTCATCAACGAGCTCTTCTCTCGCGTCCCTAGGAAAAGCAAACACAAGTCTTCAGCAGACCATACCCGGAAGCAAGCTGAGAAGGAGGCGAAGGCACTGAATGCCCGCAGGTTTGAGTTTTTGCTTGAAGATGAGGCTACCCCTGGTGTTTCGGAGTTGAAGGGGAAGCGGAAGGAGGGAAGTAGCAGCAAGGAGAAGCACAAGGAGGACAGAGGAAGCGGTAAGGAGAAGCGTGACCGGCATCTGAGGAAGAGAGAGCACGATAGCAGAGAATGGGAAAGCGATGAGGAAGAGAAGTATCGGAAGCGACGGAAACCAGACGATGTTGAAACCAATGCGGATGAAGAAGCAATGGACATTCCAGAGGATGAGGATGAAAGAAAAGAACGAGAGCGAGTACAGGATATGAAGGAACGAGATGCGTTTGCTGAGCGGGTGCGTGAAAAAGACCGGGAAAAGACAAAAAAGGTCGTCGAGGATCGCTCCTCTCGTAATGCAGGTGCGGCGGCCGAGGCTGCACAACGTCGACAACTTGCAGATGACGCTGAAGCACGGACGCATGCACTTCCTTCACTGCGGTTGCATTCTCGGCAGGAATACCTAACCAAACGTGAGGTGCAGCAAATTGAGCTCCTGAGGAAGGAGATCGCGGACGAGGAGGCCTATTTCCATGGAATGAAGGTCACGAAGCAGGAGCAGGAGGACTTGGAGCGTAAGAAAGAGATTCTGCGGCTTGTCGAGGAGCGTCTCAAGATCAACGACAAGTGGGATGGTTACATGCTACCTGAAGACTACATTACGGAGCAGGGCAAAATCGACAAGGAGAAAAAGCAGAATGCACTTTACAAGCGATACGAAGAGGCCAAACCCAAGGATGACCAGTTTGTCACAGATGTCGACCAGTGGGAGGCTAGTCAAACGCTGCACAGCACATTTCGGACGGGCGCTATGGACAAAAGGGAGGTCCCCGACGATTACGAGTACGTGTTTGATGAGAGCCAGACCATTAAGTTCGTCATGGACCAGACGCTCAAGGGGGAGGGAATGATGAGTGCCAAGGACAAACTCTTGCACCAACAAATTCAAGAGGCTGAAAAACGAGGTTAGTACATAACTTCCCTCTCTGGTAATGGTATCTGACGGCTTTAATCCAGCGCAAACCATCGATGAAACTCGCAAATCTCTGCCAATATACACATACCGAGAACCACTGCTGGAGGCCATTAAGGAACATCAGGTGCTTATTGTCGTCGCCGAGACCGGCTCAGGCAAGACAACTCAACTTCCGCAGTACCTGCACGAAGCCGGGTACACAGCCAATGGACAGAAAGTGGGTTGCACACAACCTCGTCGTGTGGCTGCAATGTCCGTAGCGGCGCGCGTTGCTGAGGAGATGGGTACCAAAGTTGGGTACGAAGTAGGCTATTCCATCCGGTTTGAGGACTGCACGAGCGACAAGACAGTGCTCAAGTACATGACGGACGGAATGCTCCTTCGAGAGTTTCTGACTGAACCAGACTTAGCCGGATATGCAGCACTGATTATTGACGAGGCACACGAGCGGACTCTGAGTACGGACATTCTTTTTGCTCTCGTCAAGGTGTGTGGTGCTACTTCTCACGGTTTGCTTTAGGTTCTGAGGGGCTCTGTTTGTCAGGATATTGCAAGATTCAGGCCTGAGCTGAGATTGTTGATCTCGAGCGCGACCATGGATGCTGAGAAGTTCAGCGAGTACTTTGACAATGCACCGGTATTTTATGGTGGGTAGCTATAGTTTGCAGATGACAAATGTAATACTAATGTTGTTCGCAGTCCCTGGGCGTCGATACCCGGTCGACATTCATTACACGCCACAGCCAGAGGCCAATTACCTGCACGCAGCCATCACTACCGTCTTCCAGATCCATACAACACAGCCCAAAGGCGACATCCTTGTGTTCTTTACGGTGCGTGCCAGATCCTCATTACTGCATCGTCCTGCTCACTCTTATGCAGGGCCAAGACGAAATCGAAGCAGCTCAAGAAAATCTGCAGGAGACGGCTCGGGCGCTCGGGAACAAGATCGCCGAGTTAATCATCTGTCCAATTTACGCCAACTTGCCCAGCGATATGCAAGCCAAGATCTTTGAACCAACGCCGGATGGCGCAAGAAAGGTCGTGCTCGCTACAAACATCGCAGAGACGTCAATCACTATCGAAGGTGTGGTCTTCGTTATCGATCCTGGGTTTGTCAAGCAAAACTCGTATAATCCTCGTACTGGCATGTCTTCCTTGATCGTGGTTCCGGTAAGTGATGACGCTGTATTATCTTTGTGCTTACAACTCATTTCACTGTGCGTCCCAGTGTTCTCGTGCATCAGCCAACCAAAGAGCAGGCCGTGCAGGTCGCGTGGGGCCCGGCAAAGCCTTCCGACTATACACGAAATGGGCGTTTGCAAACGAGCTCGAGGAGAATACCGTACCTGAAATTCAACGCACGAACCTTGGAATGACTGTCCTGTTACTGAAATCACTCGGAATTAACAACTTCATGGACTTTGAGTTTATGGACCCACCTCCGGGAGAGACGCTTATCAGGGCACTAGAGCTGCTCTATGCTCTGGGGGCATTGAACGATCGTGGGGAGCTGACGAAACTGGGTCGACGGATGGCAGAGTTCCCTGTTGATCCCATGTTATCTAAAGCCATCATTTCTAGCGAAAAGTACTCGTGTACTGACGAGGTATGGGCTTCCATATCTTGAAATAACATGTTGATGCTGACGCTATCCCATCACCAGGTATTGACCATTATAGCAATGCTCTCTGAATCCTCGTCGCTGTTTTATCGTCCCAAAGATAAAAAAATGCATGCAGACCAAGCACGTCAAAATTTCGTTCGCACAGGAGGAGATCACTTCACATTGCTCAACGTCTGGGAGCAATGGGCCGATACGAATTATTCGCAACAGTTCTGCTACGAGCAATTTTTGCAGTTCAAGAGTCTTAGTCGGGCGCGGGATATCCGGGATCAACTTGCTGGGCTTTGTGAACGTGTTGAAGTCGTTATTCAGAGTAATCCGAACGCAAACGACGTCAGCCCTGTGCAGAAAGCTATCACGTCGGGGTACTTTTACAATACTGTAAGTCGAATAATTCGTAGTCGACGCATGAAAGTATACTCATGCAACATTCTCAGGCCCAACTCCAGAAGAGCGGCGACTCTTACCGGACGCTGAAGACGCATCACACCGTATATATCCACCCCTCATCAAGTCTTTTCCAACACCAACCGCCCGTCAAAACGGTGCTATATTATGAGCTTGTTATGACCTCAAAATCATACATGAGGCAAGTCCTTTTTTCGACAAACCATATGCATCTAATCGCTTTGCTCCCCATCAGACAAATCATGGAAATCAAGCCGTCATGGCTAATGGAAGGCAAGTACTATCATTCGAGTTGTCTCCCTCATAATGTTAATGACACCTTTCAGTCGCTCCTCATTATTTCAAGGCTGCAGACCTGGAACAGCTGACCACTGGTGATAAGAAGTTGCCCAATGCAAAAGCGGTTGGTTCGTCGGGGGCAGCTGCTTCATGACGTGCTCCCTTTCGGTAGTGGTCCATGCTGAACTACATTTGGTATTCCCTCATCATGATTCGTATGTGCTCGATAGTAGTAATTTTGCATCGGAGTTGTGGGTGTATTGCCCAGGATCACTTGGCTTGTGGTCTGCATACACCATCGACTTCGTGCATTCCCACCATGCCGCTGACCCACCCTCACTCTCGACCGATTCCTTCTGAACTTACGAATATAAGTTAGGTTAGCTTTAGAATAAGAATAATTTAGGCTATGCATTGAAAGTGTTCTCGACACCTTCAGTGTTTCCTCTGTAGAATCGTTTGATCAGCGGAGACGCCGGGTTGAGCTTTTCATTTCAAAGCCCGCACTTTCCCGATACTTACAACCTCGGAGAAACACATCACCAACACCTACCATGTTGTGCTCCTCGTTCCGCTCAGCAACCGCCTCCCTGGGTCTGGGACGGCGAGCAGTTTCTACAATTGCTCAAAAGTACTCCAAAGCTGTTTATTCGGCTGCTCTTTCGAAATCACCGCAAACGCTCACCAAGGTCCAGTCGGAATTGAACGCCATCTCTAATGTCATCAAGGAGGTGCCCGACCTCAAAGCGTTCGTCAGCAACCCAACGCTATCTGCCAAGGATCGCTCTGCGGGCCTCGCTGTCATATATTCTCGTGCAGAAGGCTCCAAGAAGGAGCCTGTCTCTGACATAACAAAAACTTGTTCGGTGTCCTGTCGGAGAATGGTAGACTCGGAGAGACGCAAGGTGTTATCGAGGGGTTCAATGAGCTGGTTGCAAAGTACAAGGGAGAACTGGAAGTTGTTGTCACGTCTGCTACTCCTCTACCCAGGGATTTGTCCTCCCGGTTGGAGACTATCCTCAAGCAGTCTCAGACAGCTCAGCAGGCAAAGTCGCTGAAAATCTCCAACAAGGTACCTCAATTTTGTTCATAACCTTTTCAAGTCAGTTTTAACGAGTTTTAGGTGAACCCGTCAGTCCTCGGCGGTATTGTAGTGGACTTCGGCGACAAGAGCATTGACCTCAGTGTCTCGTCGCGTGTCAACAAGCTCAACAATGTTCTGCAGCGTGAGTTTCCCTTGTCTCTACATAGTTCAATGGCTGATTCCTTGCACAGAATCCGTATAGACACGCATCTCATAGAGGAGATTGCCGGTGGCCGGGATTCCCCAACCTCACAAAGAAAAGGAAAGCTTAGTCGAGTATTTCTGTTCTTACCCAGCCAATACAATCGCACTTTAGAAAACATGCCCCTCGCAAAGCTGGTATTGAAATCTTTGCTGGACATCGATAGTATGAGGTTGACGTGCTCGAGTAACTGATCTACATGCAACGGATCCAAATGTCTTTGGGTGTCTCTGATCCCCGAGTGAACTCAAGTCGCAAGATAATTTACTACAGGGTTTTCTCAATAACGAAATTTTCCAGTGACGCGCTACCTACCATAGTGGCTTCTGTATTTGCTCCCCATCAGCCTCAGGGCTGAGTTCCGCAGCAACAGTCATGAACCTAAGTAAACATGATAAGCCCCATCAATCAAGATGTCACGGTACAGTTCAAAATCAGGACTTACTGTGCAGCATGTGTACCAGCCAGAACTCTCATGGCGTCCAAGTCTGTCTGAAGTTGTTCAAAGAGGTCTGCTGTTTGCCCGACAGCGCGTGACATGTTCTTCAGACTAGCTGCGAGTTGGCTATATAGCCTGTCTTTCGCCTGAGTTGCATTCATGAACGCAAGCGAGATCTGACACTCTAAGCCGCTAATGGTGGTCGAAAGAGTTCACGTGACAGGTAAGGAGACCGCTTATGCAAGCGTACGCCGTAGATGGATGGCGGCCAAATATTCATTCATTCGCGAATTTAAACAGACGCAGGTACCTTCAGTTAGGCCTCCAGCAGCTCCCTATGATACTTCGGCTGTCAGGGCCCTCCAAAGCGCCTCTTGACTTAGGGTAGACTTTTGATTCTTCGAGTCTGTATAATTACATGGATACAAATATGCAGCACTTGCTGTGAAAAATGATTTCTTTCCCTTTCACTCAATAGTTACTTTATTCTGAAGCCAAGCCATAACGTTAGAGCGGAAGAACCCCATGAAGATAGCCTGCCTTGTAGAACGCAACATGATCCTTGATATGCGATGCTTTGGTTTTTGGATCCACGTAGTACCTTTGGATGATAACTTAGCAGACCAGTCCGGCCTGGCAGATACACTTCGACTTACCATGCGATATCTTTCACATTGTCACCATGAATCTGTGCAGAATAGTATGACGCTGTCCTTCAGGAAGATTCCGTCAAAACAAGTTCAGCGCTGAGCAACAGTCGACGGACCCGGGATGCTCACCCTTTCCCAAGCACACTCAGTGCTGACTCGGAGCACTTGAAGTTAAATGTGCATCAACATTATATCAACGATACTGCCTTACCTTGTATCTGAGGAAGCGAGGAGTGAGTTATTGACAGACTCAGGGGGAAGTAATAGTTGCCTTCCACCATGACAGGGTTTGAGTGCTCGGCAAGTATTTCGTCTCTGTAAGTGCTTTTACCATGATTTAAATTTAACGTTTATGGGCGCTGTGATTAAGTTGTGTTAGCCTGAGATAGTGTTTAAGGTTGGGCCAGCTGCTAGCGATACGGCACCCTCACCGTGTCAATGGCGCAGGCACTTACATGCCAGGTAGTTCCAACCTATACTTATCAGTATACAAGATCCGGACCAGTATTGTTGTAAGTAGCTGCTGTGCCGTGGAGTAGCAAGATCAAAGTCGGAATTTGGTGTCGTTGGACAAGGCCGCCAGTTAGTAGATGACTCGGCAAATCCGGTGTGCAAGGTGTCGGCTCATAGTGGGTTGGTCAGACTCCTCCCTTCGGTATATATATTGACCACGCCAGCATAAGTCTAACAGCGCTTCGAGCGACCCCCTTTGTGGGGAAGAGATATGCAGACGCGAAAAGCAAAATGGACCGCAAACAGCATGATCGGTGCGCTATAACTACTGCATACGCTCCATTTTCTGAATAATATCGGCTTTCCGCATACAGCTGGTGCTGGAGGTGGTCTGGTTGCCAGCATCGCGACCTGTCCGCTTCGACGCATCAAGACCAAGTTACAAGCGCAACGTACAGTCCAAGGGCAGCAGGGTTATCAAGGGGTCCTCGGTATGTTCTCCGGTCCCTCATCTCCGTTCTCATCTCCCTTATCACACCTGACACCCCCCCTGCAGACATCGTGAAAACAACCCTCAAACATGATGGAATACGCGGCATGTATCGTGGTCTTGGCCCCACAATCTTGGGGTATCTTCCAACAATGGCTATCTACTTTGCGATATATGACGGGATTAAGACGCGCTTCGGAGAACCTCCGCTGGGCCAAGTGCCGAAACATGACCGAGTATACCCTGCTGCACAAACTAAGGGCTACCAGCCCGTGATGCGCGACCACCCGTGGACCCTCCACATCCTTTCCGCGATGATCGCCGGTGCTGCGAGCACAACCGTACCAATCCACTATGGGTCATCAAAACACGTTTCATGGTATGAGTTTTTCGTTCAATATCAACTTCCTACAACCCAATTCACGAACTTGCCAACCCGGCTCATGCATGCGATAGACACAATCAAGACGAGAAGTTAGATACCGACATACCTTCGATGCAGCTTTCGCAATATACCGCACGGAGGGCATCCGCGCGTTCTACCGTGGGCTCCTACCCAGCCTTTTAGGAATATTTCATGTAGCCGTCCAGTTTCCCCTATATGAAAAGCTCAAGATATGGGCCCGTGAGTAGCAGTTACCTATTCTGCATCACAATTTTGAAAGAAATGCAGAGGGTGACTCCGATGAGCCGCTACGGAGCGACACAATATTGCTATGTTCTGGCATAGCGAAGATGGCTGCATCCATTGCAACGTATCCACACGAGGTTGTACGCACACGGCTGCAGACGCTCCGATTACCAATAGCTGAGGATGCATCTTCGGACGGCATGGTGAAAACACATGCACGCCGCGGAATCATTTACATAACACGCAAGATTATTCAGAAAGAGGGCTGGACGGGTCTTTACAAAGGTCTTTCAGTCACCCTGTTCCGAACGGTGCCAAATAGTGCCGTTACACTTTTAACGTGCGTTAAAGACCGTAGCATAACCTCACTCTCCGTTGACATAATTGCCAGATATGAACTGCTCATGCGTCACCTTACGGTTCAACAATGAGATATAATTGCACCTATTGCGCAATTGTATATCGGCATTCATCTGCCTCAACCTAAGAGGAAACCGCTTTTTTGAATACGATGAGTTCAAGACTGCATTTAGAAAGACCTTTTCATGTATAGATTTATAACTCAGTGTATAATATCAATATCATCGTGAGCGCATTCCTTTTACCTCGGGTATCATTCGCCTTCCTTTGCTCCGTTCCTTCTGTTGCAGTAATATCTGTGCTATAATCGACGTTGTAATTGGCCGGGGCCACATAGCTTTGCTTGGCGTCCTCCCACTTGAAGATGCGACCATGACATTCTCATACTTTGCCAGCGGACAGTGTGTGTGTTCAATCAGGATTAGGTTCAAGTTCCACAATAAAATAGAATGATGCGCCTCTTTCCCTTTCGTTAAGCGAGGGTTCCATTTCAGACGCACCCTTTATCCGGCGTGTGTATGTGAAGAGAGCGATGTAAACGTACACCCTTGCTGTTCTAACCGGGTATTTCCCGAAAAAGAGAACTTGTATGACTGAGAGCACCAATACCAAAGAAATAAAAGCCATACCCCGATCCAGTCCAAATCAAGGAGACGTCCGTCTCCCTTCCGTATAAGATCCAGACCGATCAGACTGTATACGCGATGTTTGTGATCGTTTCATCATCATCATTATTAAAGGAGAATCTGCCTAGTCATATGGTAACCCAGATGGCATATATGGTCAACAAGGTTTTGGCACGAGCAAAAAAAGAAAAATGAGGACTGTAAAGATGTATGAGAAAGCGTTCGAAAAATCCAAGTGTGCGTCCGTCCTCCTGAGTAAGGAGCGTCCGTCCCAGCTGGCATGGTCCACATGCATGCCGAAAATTGATTGTTGGAAAGAGCGTAAGCAGTTTGAAGATGAGAGGGCATGTGATTCGTGGGCGGCATACGGGCAGGGGTGGGAAGACGTGACCCGTCAAGTATATGCAATCACAGCTGTGGGTTGCAATATATGGGTGCAAGGAGTGGCAGGATGGTGTCCGTGGGGAAAATACAGGGCAAGTGCTGGGAGTAGGAGCAGGGTAGGGAGTAGGAGTCCGAACGAAAAGTCTAGTGCGACTACCACAAATTACCGAGGACCACGATAACAACGGATGTATGGTAAAAAGCCAGCCTTGCAATGAAGGAAAAAGGTGCGGTGGAATGGAAAAGCGAAGGCTACAGAAGTGGTGTGATGCGGGTTAGAAAGTGCGAACTAAACGGCGATGAAGGTGGGACAACAATATGAGGGCTGCGAAAGGTATCCGAAAAAATATACAATCAACGTTGAGAGGTCGAAAGTGAAATAAAGTAAAGTAAAGCGCACAAAAAATCCTAGTGATCTTGCACTGTATCACCAGTCTCACTTAGAGTTTCCACTTTAACTCCCCGTGATGAACTGACACTTCGTATGTCTCGTCCTTCTTCTGCTAATTCACGACTCATGATCGCATCATCTCTGTGGTCCTCGGCCTCCTCAACAGTGGGCCCTGCAAAATCAGGTTTGCGCAATGCTTTCCTAAATGCATCCGCCATGATGGCTGCATCGGCTCCTGAAAATGGACCGGTGTCGCCTGCAGAGTGGGCCCGTGAGATATCGGATGCACCATCCGGAGATACGATCGATGCAGGCCGATGCTGTTCTGATGATGTCCGGCCAGCCACCGCACCTGCTATCCCAGCCCCCAACAACGGTAGTTGAGGAGAGTTGGAGTTCTGGGCATTGGCCATCATCGGAGACGAGGAACCTATGGACCCTCGATTCGAGAGCTGTCCACGTCTTCGTAGACGGCGCACGATTAACCAAATCAAGACACCGCCAGCTACGATGGCGAGAAATCCGAGTACCACGATGACTGCTATTGCCCAATGAGGAAAAGGTGGACTTGAGTTGTTTGACTGAACATTTCCCGATGGAAGCGACGATGTCCCAGATGCATGTGATAAAGACGCTGATGACAGAGCAGCCGCAGATGACGATGCGGCGGCGGCAGATGACGACGCGGCGGCAGCAGATGACGACGATTGCATAGACGAAACAACAGCATCTGCATATGTAGTTTCTTCACGAACATGTTAGTTGGGACATAATAGATTGTGCGACACAGACGCACGAATAGCCAGGAACGTTGGATTTGTGGTGTAAGTGCCATTGTCCAGACCATTCTGATTGGTCACTACCCAATAAAATGGGTATGAGAAATTCTGCCCTGGCGTCCATGAAGTGCCTTTGCTTCCGAACCAAGTATCATTCACTTCTGCATTCATTTCGCCTGCACTAGTGGTCGGATTT